GACCAATAAAAACAAAGGATTTATAGAAATGTTGGCCAACTGAAAAGTATGAACATGAAAAGTATGAGCATGTACAGCACTCAGTATTTAGTTGGGCCTCCTTTGGCCTGTATTACTGCAGCAATGCGGCGTGGCATGGAGTCGATCAGTCTGTGGCACTGCTCAGGTGTTATGATAGCCCAGGTTGCTCTAATAGTGGCTTTTAGCTCTTCTGAATTGTTGGGTCTGGTGTATTGCATCTTCTTCTTCACAATACCCCATAGATTTTCTATGGGGTTAAGGTCAGGAGAGTTTGCTGGCCAATTAAGAACAGGGATACCATGGTCCTTCAACCAGGTACTGGTAGCTTTGGCACTGTGTGCAGGTGCCAAGTCCTGTTGGAAAATGAAACCTGCATCTCCAAAACGTTGGTCAGCTGCAGGAAGCATGAAGTGCTCTAAAACTTCCTGGTATGTGGCTGCGTTGACCCTGGACCTCAGAAAACACAATGGACCAACAACAGCAGATGACATGGCACCCCAAACCATCACTGACTGTGGAAACTTTACACTGGACTTCAAGCAACGTGGATGAAGTGCCTCTCTTCTTTTCCTCCAGACTCTGGGACCTTGATTTCCAAAGGAAATGCAAAATTTACTTTCATCAGAGAACATGACTTTGGACCACTCACCAGCAGTCCAGTCCTGTTTCTCTTTAGCCCAGGCAAGACGCTTCTGACGCTGTCTGTGGTTCAAGAGTGGCTTGACACAAGGAATGCGACAGCAGAAACCCATGTCTTTCATACGTCTGTGTGTGGTGGTTCTTGAAGCACTCACTCCAGCTGCAGTCCACTCTTTGTGAATCTCCCCCACATTTTTGAAGGGGTTTTGTTTCACAATCCTCTCCAGGGTGCGGTTTATTAAAAATAAGATCATAAGCACTCCTCTATCCGCGATTGTACCTGAGGTAGTCATGGAATCTGAACTGGGTTTAGACTGCTTTGATCCAGTTGAACTCTCTGAATTAGCAAAATTATTGTCTTCATCTAAGCCTTCAACTTGTATGTTAGATCCAGTTCCAACCAGGTTATTTAAGGAGGTATTCCCTTTGATCTCCTCCTCCATTTTAGATGTGATTAATCTATCTCTGTTACAGGGATATGTACCTAAAGCTTTTAAGGTTGCTGTAATTAAACCTCTGCTTAAGAAACCGTCTCTTGACCCAGATGACTTGGTCAATTATAGACCTATATCCAATCTTCCTTTCTTATCCAAAATTCTTGAGAAAGTAGTTGCCAAACAAGTTTGCGATCACTTCCACCATAATGAACTTTTTGAAGAGTTTCAGTCTGGCTTTAGAGCTCATCATAGCACTGAAACAGCTCTGGTGAAAGTCACTAATGATATTCTCATGGCCTCAGATAATGGACTTGTATCTGTGCTCGTCCTGTTGGATCTTAGTGCTGCATTTGATACAGTTGACCATAATATTCTTTTAGAAAGACTTGAATATTTTGTTGGAATTAAAGGAACAGCACTAGACTGGTTTAAATCTTATCTATCTGATCGAATTCAGTTTGTTCATGTTAATGATAGATCTTCAACACGCTCAAAGGTTACCTGTGGAGTACCACAGGGATCAGTGCTAGGACCAATTCTCTTTACTTTATACATGCTCCCAATTGGTAGAGTTATTAGACAGCATGGGATTAATTTCCACTGTTATGCTGATGATACCCAGCTATATCTGTCTATAAATCCAGATGAAGCTAACCCATTACATAGATTACAGGCATGTCTTGAAGACATAAAAACCTGGATGACTCTTAACTTTCTGCTTCTGAATGCAGACAAAACAGAAGTTATAGTCTTTGGACCAGAGTCTCTGAAAAAGAAGCTGATTAGTCAGTCACTTCATTTGGATGGGATTAAACTGATTTCAGATAATAAAGTAAAAAATCTTGGTGTTGTTTTTGATCAGGACCTGTCATTTAGGTCCCATATCAAGGAGGTTTCTAGAATTTCCTTCTTTCATCTGAGGAATATTGCAAAAATGAGCAATCTCCTGTCCAGGGGTGATGCTGAGAAACTAGTCCATGCATTTGTTACTTCAAGGCTGGACTATTGTAATTCTTTACTATCAGGAAGTCCACAAACTGTAGTTAAAAGCCTTCAGCTGATCCAAAATGCTGCAGCCAGAGTTCTAATGAAAATTAAAAAGAGAGATCATATCTCGCCTATCCTGGCTTCTCTTCATTGGCTTCCTGTTAAATCCAGAATAGAATTTAAAATCCTCCTTCTCACATATAAAGCCTTAAATGGCCAAGCTCCATCTTATATCAGAGATCTGATTGTTCCTTATGTTCCTAACAGAGCACTTCGCTCTCAATCTGCAGGTTTACTAGTGGTTCCTAGAATTTCTAAAAGTAGAATGGGAGGCAGATCTTTTAGTTCTCAGGCTCCTCTCCTGTGGAACCAACTACCAGTTTTAGTCCGTGAGGCAGACACCCTGTCTACTTTTAAGGCTAGGCTTAAAACTTTCCTTTTTGATAAAGCTTATAGTTAGAGTGGCTCAGGTTATCCTGAGCTATCTCTATAGTTCTGCTGCTATAGGCTTAGACTGCTGGAGGACATAGGGACCCCCATTTCATCATTCTGCTTCATTCTATCTCTATTCTCCCACTCTGCAGAATCTGTTAGTTCAATCTCTAACGTTCTGCTCTCTCTGCTTTTCCTCAGAGTAGCTTTGCCTCGTCTGTTCCTGTTTGGCTGTGACGTCATCCTGGAAAGAAACATCAGCTGTGCTGCTTCTATCAACACCCTTGTTTATAGATGTTGGAGATCGGCCTGTTTTCCAGTGTGGTCCTGTTTCTCTGACCGTGACTGAGTGGATGTGCTTTCTTCGTCCTCTGGCATGGGAGCTGCCTTGGAGCTCGTCTGCCTGGCTGTGTGTTTCCTGGACGGGGCCGCCTTTTACAGCTGCTTTTTGTATCTCTGCTTCTGTCTCCTTGAACCCCAGTGGGCCTCAGCAGATGGCCGCTCACACTGAGCCTGGTTCTGCTGGAGGTTTCTTCCTGTTAAAAGGGAGTTTTTCCTCTCCACTGTCGCTACAAGCATGCTTAGTGTGAGGGATTGCTGAAGAGTCAATGAGTCAATGCAATCAACTGGTTTTCCTTAGATAGAAAACTTTGTATCAATTTGATCTGGTTGAACTGTAAAGTGCCTTGAGATGACATGTGTTGTGAATTTGGCGCTATATAAATAAACTGAATTGAATTGAATTGAATTAATCATCAAAATTAAACAAAATAAACATCTGAAATATATGAGTTTGTATGTAATGTATGAATATAATATACAAGTTTCACTTTTTAAATGGAATTACTGAAATCAATCTACTTTTTCATGATATTCTAATTTTATGACCAGCACTTGTAATAGGGAGGGAGGAAGAGGAAGCAGGGAGCTTCCTGTAATAGGGAGGGAGGAAGAGGAAGCAGGAAGCTTCCTGCAATAGGTAGAAATGAAGAGAAAGCAGTAAACTTCCTGTCATAGTGAAGGAAGAAGCAGGAAGCTTCCTGTCATAGTGAGGGAAGAAGCAGGGAGCTTCCTGTCATAGTGAGGGAAGAAGCAGGAAGCTTCCTGTCATAGTGAGGGAAGAAGCAGGAAGCTTCCTGTCATAGCGAGGGAGGAAGCAGGAAGCTTCCTGTCATAGCGAGGGAAGAAGCAGGAAGCTTCCTGTCATAGTGAGGGAAGAAGCAGGAAGCTTCCTGTCATAGCGAGGGAGGAAGCAGGAAGCTTCCTGTCATAGTGAGGGAAGAAGCAGGAAGCTTCCTGTCATAGTGAGGGAAGAAGCAGGGAGCTTCCTGTCATAGTGAGGGAAGAAGCAGGAAGCTTCCTGTCATAGTGAGGGAAGAAGCAGGAAGCTTCCTGTCATAGCGAGGGAGGAAGCAGGAAGCTTCCTGTCATAGCGAGGGAAGAAGCAGGAAGCTTCCTGTCATAGTGAGGGAAGAAGCAGGAAGCTTCCTGTCATAGTGAGGGAAGAAGCAGGAAGCTTCCTGTCATAGTGAGGGAAGAAGCAGGAAGCTTCCTGTCATAGTGAGGGATGTTTTTGAAAGACACTTTTGTTTTTTCGTTTAAATCTAATCTTAGGTTAGTTCCTAGTTTGTTCACTAATTTCTAAGCCTTTTAATTCATTCATTTGTTTTTATTTTCAGTTACTTTGATCATTTTGAGTTATTTATTTCCTATAAACTTTTTTTTTTCAGCTTTTATGATTAGGCTAACTTTAACCCATTTCTCTCTGACTGTGATTAACCGGAGCCTGGCCTCTTGTTTTATTCTGGTGGAAATTCACAGTTTTCCTAAAATCCACAAGTAATTTGGATAAATGGTGGGATTCTTTCTCTAGATTACCAACGTCTCAGTAAAATCCAGTCATATTGATGCCTGCAGCCGTCCTCCTAGTCCTCCTAGTCCTCCTAGTCCTCCTAGTCCTCCTAGTCCCCCTAGTCCTCCTAGTCCTCCTAGTCCCCCTAGTCCTCCTAGTCCTCCTAGTCCCCCTAGTCCTCCTAGTCCCCCTAGTGCTTTAGCGGTGCCCTCTCACTCAAACTTTCTGGAGGTTCTTTTTGTCACCTAGATTCTATGGCTGAAGTATCAGTAGTATTATTTAATCTGACATGTACTCTGTTACCTGGAGATCAGAATATGGGCTTTCTGTGTGGAAGTGAATCTCTAAGTATCTCAATTCAATTCTATTCTATTCAGTTTATTTCTATAGCTCCAATTCACCAGAACCAAAACAGAACCAACCCGGGAATTCCAGATGTGTTTCTGGCTCTGCTGGATTCTACTGCATCTCACTGACCAAGCTAGCATGCTAGGTCTCTGTCAGGGTTCTTTGGACCGGATCAGTTTGGGGTTCAGGTCTCCGACCAGCAGCTCCTGAGGTTCTACCAGGCAGGAAGGGGTCCAGCTCTGTGAGGAGACCAGGACTATAAAGGACTTCCTGTTTGTCTGCAGATGACGGAGCAGAGGAAGAGGAGGCAGAGGATGGGCTTCGTGGACGTCCAGGCCGGAGCGAGCGGCACTCTGCCGCCATCAGCTGCAGGAGGAAATCATCAGATCTACAAACCATGAAGGCAGCAGTGAGCATCCAGCTGGACCGATGCTGGAGAACCTGCAGCTGGTCCAACCTGATCTCCAGATGTGGAGAACCTGAACCTGCTTTTGTGTGCAAAGATTAGCAGCAGTAGTTTAAGCATAGGAAGAAACCTGCTTTGCTTGGTGCAGCTTCTAGTTTAATGAGATCTAAATTATTCTGCTAGATCTTCAGAAGATTAGGTTTGTGGAACCAGTAAACCAGCCCAGTTCAGACACACCTGGAAATCATCAGGAAACATTGTTCCATTTCCTGTGAACGTAGAATTGTCCTGAAATGTTTGATTTTATGTTTTACAGAAAGTCGATCATTTAAATGTGATCTGATCACGTTAAAGATGTCAGAATAAATAAACTTGTTTAGTTGAATATTTTCTGCCTCATTTAAAAATATTTTTCACTGTTTGTGTGTGTGTGTGTGTGTGTGTGGGGGGGGGGCGTCCCAAATGGGTCTTTAATAATCTAATAAATAGAAATTATTGAAGTATTCAAAGTCCAGAACCATGTTTATTATGCTCCAACCTGAGCCTCCCTGCTGTTTGACCATAGATGGTGGTCAGATGTTCTCCTAGATCAGCTGCTTCTAAACTTCTTCAACTCCTGATCCAGACCTGCTGCTGCAGTAACACAGACACAGGTGGGACCTTCTGATCAAACACAGGTGGGACCTTCTGATCAGACACAGGTGGGACCTTCTGATCAGACACAGGTGGGACCTTCTGATCAGACACAGGCGGGACCTTCTGATCAGACACAGGTGGGACCTTCTGATCAAACACAGGTGGGACCTTCTGATCAGACACAGGTGGGACCTTCTGATCAGACACAGGTGGGACCTTCTGATCAGACACAGGTGGCACCTTCTGATCAGACACAGGTGGGACCTTCTGATCAGACACAGGTGGCACCTTCTGATCAAACACAGGTGGGACCTTCTGATCAGACACAGGTGGGACCTTCTGATCAGACACAGGTGGGACCTTCTGATCAAACACAGGTGGGACCTTCTGATCAGACACAGGTGGGACCTTCTGATCAGACACAGGTGGGACCTTCTGATCAGACACAGGTGGGACCTTCTGATCAGACACAGGTGGGACCTTCTGATCAAACACAGGTGGGACCTTCTGATCAAACACAGGTGGGACCTTCTGATCAGACACAGGTGGGACCTTCTGATCAGACACAGGTGGGACCTTCTGATCAAACACAGGTGGGACCTTCTGATCAGACACAGGTGGGACCTTCTGATCAGACACAGGTGGGACCTTCTGATCAGACACAGCTGGGACCTTCTGATCAGACACAGCTGGGACCTTCTGATCAAACACAGGTGGGACCTTCTGATCAGACACAGGTGGGACCTTCTGATCAGACACAGGTGGGACCTTCTGATCAGACACAGGTGGGACCTTCTGATCAGAACACAGGTGGGACCTTCTGATCAAACACAGGTGGGACCTTCTGATCAGACACAGGTGGGACCTTCTGATCAGACACAGGTGGGACCTTCTGATCAGACACAGGTGGGACCTTCTGATCAGACACAGGTGGGACCTTCTGATCAGATACAGGTGGGACCTTCTGATCAAACACAGGTGGGACCTTCTGATCAGACACAGGTGGGACCTTCTGATCAGACACAGGTGGGACCTTCTGATCAGACACAGGTGGGACCTTCTGATCAGACACAGGTGGGACCTTCTGATCAGACAGGTGGGACCTTCTGATCAAACACAGGTGGGACCCTCTGATCAGACACAGGTGGGACCTTCTGATCAGACACAGGTGGGACCTTCTGATCAGACACAGGTGGGACCTTCTGATCAGACACAGGTGGGACCTTCTGATCAGACAGGTGGGACCTTCTGATCAAACACAGGTGGGACCCTCTGATCAAACACAGGTGGGACCTTCTGATCAGACACAGGTGGGACCTTCTGATCAGACACAGGTGGGACCTTCTGATCAGACACAGGTGGGACCTTCTGATCAGACAGGTGGGACCTTCTGATCAGACACAGGTGGGACCTTCTGATCAGACACAGGTGGGACCTTCTGATCAAACACAGGTGGGACCTTCTGATCAGACACAGGTGGGACCTTCTGATCAGACACAGGTGGGACCTTCTGATCAGACACAGGTGGGACCTTCTGATCAGACACAGGTGGGACCTTCTGATCAGACACAGGTGGGACCTTCTGATCAGACACAGGTGGGACCTTCTGATCAAACACAGGTGGGACCTTCTGATCAGACACAGGTGGGACCCTCTGATCAGACACAGGTGGGACCTTCTGATCAGCACAGGTGGGACCTTCTGATCAGACACAGGTGGGACCTTCTGATCAGACACAGGTGGGACCTTCTGATCAGACACAGGTGGGACCTTCTGATCAAACACAGGTGGGACCTTCTGATCAGACACAGGTGGCACCTTCTGATCAAACACAGGTGGGACCTTCTGATCAGACACAGGTGGGACCTTCTGATCAGACACAGGTGGGACCTTCTGATCAGACACAGGTGGGACCTTCTGATCAAACACAGGTGGGACCTTCTGATCAGACACAGGTGGGACCTTCTGATCAAACACAGGTGGGACCTTCTGATCAGACAGGTGGGACCTTCTGATCAGACACAGGTGGGACCTTCTGATCAGACACAGGTGGGACCTTCTGATCAAACACAGGTGGGACCTTCTGATCAGACAGGTGGGACCTTCTGATCAGACACAGGTGGGACCTTCTGATCAGACACAGGTGGCACCTTCTGATCAGACACAGGTGGGACCTTCTGATCAGACACAGGTGGGACCTTCTGATCAAACACAGGTGGGACCTTCTGATCAGACAGGTGGGACCTTCTGATCAGACACAGGTGGGACCTTCTGATCAGACACAGGTGGCACCTTCTGATCAGACACAGGTGGGACCTTGTCATCAAACACAGGTGGGACCTTCTGATCAAACACAGGTGGGACCTTCTGATCAGACACAGGTGGGACCTTCTGATCAGACACAGGTGGCACCTTCTGATCAGACACAGGTGGGACCTTCTGATCAGACACAGGTGGGACCTTCTGATCAGACACAGGTGGGACCTTCTGATCAGACACAGGTGGGACCTTCTGATCAGACACAGGTGGGACCTTCTGATCAGACACAGGTGGGACCTTCTGATCAAACACAGGTGGGACCTTCTGATCAGACACAGGTGGGACCTTCTGATCAGACACAGGTGGCACCTTCTGATCAAACACAGGTGGGACCTTCTGATCAGACACAGGTGGGACCTTCTGATCAGACACAGGTGGGACCTTCTGATCAGACACAGGTGGGACCTTCTGATCAGACACAGGTGGGACCTTCTGATCAGACACAGGTGGGACCTTCTGATCAGACACAGGTGGGACCTTCTGATCAGACACAGGTGGGACCTTCTGATCAGACACAGGTGGCACCTTCTGATCAAACACAGGTGGGACCTTCTGATCAGACACAGGTGGGACCTTCTGATCAGACACAGGTGGGACCTTCTGATCAGACACAGGTGGGACCTTCTGATCAGACACAGGTGGGACCTTCTGATCAGACACAGGTGGGACCTTCTGATCAGACACAGGTGGGACCTTCTGATCAGACACAGGTGGGACCTTCTGATCAGACACAGGTGGCACCTTCTGATCAAACACAGGTGGGACCTTCTGATCAGACACAGGTGGGACCTTCTGATCAGACACAGGTGGCACCTTCTGATCAAACACAGGTGGGACCTTCTGATCAGACACAGGTGGGACCTTCTGATCAGACACAGGTGGGACCTTCTGATCAGACACAGGTGGCACCTTCTGATCAAACACAGGTGGGACCTTCTGATCAGACACAGGTGGGACCTTCTGATCAGACACAGGTGGGACCTTCTGATCAAACACAGGTGGGACCTTCTGATCAGACACAGGTGGGACCTTCTGATCAGACACAGGTGGGACCTTCTGATCAGACACAGGTGGGACCTTCTGATCAGACACAGGTGGGACCTTCTGATCAGACACAGGTGGGACCTTCTGATCAGACACAGGTGGGACCTTCTGATCAGACACAGGTGGGACCTTCTGATCAGACACAGGTGGGACCTTCTGATCAGACACAGGTGGGACCTTCTGATCAGACACAGGTGGGACCTTCTGATCAGACACAGGTGGGACCTTCTGATCAGACACAGGTGGGACCTTCTGATCAGACACAGGTGGGACCTTCTGATCAGACACAGGTGGGACCTTCTGATCAGACACAGGTGGGACCTTCTGATCAGACACAGGTGGGACCTTCTGATGGGCAGTATTTTTGGACTGGTCTGAGTATTCATGATGTTCTTAGTTTCTCCAGGACAGTCCTGGTGGGTCTGAGCCTCTGAGGGTTTTGGACTCTCCTTTTTTGCTGGACTTATCTGGAGCTCATTTATTCTGGGAACACTGGGGGCTGACAGCTGCTGAGTTTAACGACTGTTGGGCTTAAAGGCTTGGAGAACAACAGAGCTGCGTTCCTCTCCGAGGCAGAGCTGAAACCACAGGTGTCCCATGACAACATAGAAATACTTCATTACTGTACTTTAGTTACTCCTTTTTATCTTTACTTTATCTGAACATGTATTTTTCTGAGGCGGTTTTCCTTCTACTCTCTACGTTACAAGACAAATATCTGTACTTCCTCATTACTTCCAAATATCTGTACTTTCTCATTACTTCTATCCATGTTGATCAGGAAGACAGTTGGTCAACTTGGAGTCCAGGTAGTTGATACAAAATCTATGATGGAGACAAAGACAGGAGGTGATGTTGAGACACTGTCTATTCATTCAACTCAGAGCTCATTAGCTTCTCATCCAGGAGGTTCAAGAAGATACCAGAACATCTAAAGCCCACTGGGCCCAGGTAAGGTCAGAGGTCACGAGTCAACGATCAGAAGGAGCGTCGGTGTGATGGTCGGGGGTCATTAGAACCATTCTTTCTGTCAGGAAACAGATTTATGGCTCCAGCAGACCTGTGTTCTACAGGAGAACCTGGACCCAAAGCCACCAGCAGGTCCACCGGGTGTCCTAGTTAAAGTCTACAGGAAGTTTGACCAGTGGGTCATTGTCTTATTTCCAGTGCATATTATCTAATTATCTTATTCTAAGAGTAAAACTACTAATTTGCAAACTGTCACATTTACCTACTCAAACTAAGAGTAAATACATTTAATTTAAGTTCAGTTTTACTCATTTCTGGATCATTTTTCGAGTGCAGAACCCGCCAGCCACCCAATCGACCCAGACCGGACGGTTCTGCTTCATTCAGAGGGAACTGGGAGCATTTCAGATCAGCACTGGAAAGTCCAGGACCATCAGAACTGGAACCAAAGCATTTTTCTTATAACCAGAGTTCCGCTGGGTCTGCTGCTTCTGTAACAGAGGACCTGAACCCAACAACCATCAGAATCAGAACCGTCTGCAGCTGGACCCCATGTTCCTGTTTGACCCAGAATGAAGCAGAACCAGAGGACTGGGTCAGAGAGCGGCTGCTGGGCCTCCAGCCGCAGCTGTTGGCCTCTATTCTGGTTCCATGCTGAGCTTTGCTGGGATTACAGAGAATCTGCTGGAGCCAAAGGACAGCATGGAGGCCAGGGTGGAGGCTCAGCAGACAGGAATGAGCTGGAAGCACTGGGACAGCTGCTGGGATCTGGGGAGGATTACTGGGATGTGGACCTGAGCGCCTCAGAGACAGACAGGCTGCGCTCTTCATCATGTTCATCATCCTCAGGCTCCAGGCGTTCTGCAGGAGGAATCCCAGAATGATCCCGGTTCTGATCCATCAGGGGGGTTGAAGGTTGGAGCAGCGGGACCTTTGATGGATCATCAATAATCACATTATCATTAAATCTCATGAGACAATAATTAATTAAAGCTTTTAACTGATAGTTTCTAAAGCTTCTTCCAGAATCTTCTCACCTTCTCCTTAAATATTTTCATCTTTTCATCGGATTCAAACTTTTCTGACATTTTAAAGCAGAAACAACCAAAGAAATCCAAACTTTCCCAGGAGGAGGGGTCATGTGGCTCAGTGAGGCATCTGCTGGGATCTGACCACAACTGCCCTATATGGCCGCCCAGTGAGACCAGTTCACCCAGTGAGCTGCAGCTGGGGGAGGGGGGGTCACATGCTGAGGAGGTTTTAAAGTCAGACGAAGCCGAACCTCCATCATCCCTCAGAAAGAACGCTGCAGGAGAGCCTCAGACAGCAAGGTGAGTCCAACACACAGCCCGCATCATCACCCATCAGCTCCTCCCAGGTGGGGGGTGTTCTGAGGACGTTCAGGTTTTAGAAGAACCTGATGGTCTGAGATGTTTGAGGGGCAGCAGCTCCTGATCAGAGGCAGGAAAGGATTCTGATCTGTGGTGCTAAGGAGAGCCGAAGGTTTCGGTCCAAACTCATCAGTAAAGGTGTCTAGGTTCTGATCCAGAACATCTGACCAAACAGGCCTCCTGCTCAGACCCCCACACCTTCCAGGTCCGACCAAAGATCTGGTACCAGACGCAGCCTTTCCTGGTTCCTCAGGAGGAGAAGGACCCGTGGATGAAAGACGCCTTCAGAACAGAGCAGAACCATCAGGCTCAGAGTCTCCTTCATCAGTTCTTATCGTCTGCTTTTATTTTTAGGTGTTTGAATAATTTTAGCATCGTTTCTGCAGCCGACTGCTGGTTTCATGAAGCTTTGAGCTTCAGGTTCTATTGAACAGAACCGGGTCTGAAAACAGGCTGGAATGAAGCGGAGCTCCATCATCAGCAGATCTGCTGCTCCGCCAGAGTCAGATGCTTCTTCTCATCAGGACCACCCAGCTTGGACCTTCATCTCTGGGAGCAGAACCAGAACTTTTAACAACCCAGACTTCTCTGATACCGACAAGAAGCTTTTTATTTATGACACCAAACAATAAAACCTTCTAATTCAGGACAAGGAAATATTTTCCTGTCATATAATGTCTGATATGAGGGCCTGTTTATGCAGCGCCATCTACTGGAGACGCAGCGATGCAACAAGACAAGGTCAGTCTGGATCCAATCAGCGGGATTATGGGAAGTAGGCGATGTGTTCCCAGGGCCGTTTCCTGGACCCGGGAACACGGGGGGCTGAGCCCACATCCACCAGGGGGATTTAACCTGAAAGCTGCTTTCTGAGAATCTGGCTCCTCGTTTGAAGACAAAAGCTGCAAAATGTTCAATCTGCTGTAAATAAACAACCAGAGACATTATTTGATTTAAGCCAGAAGTATCTGATCAATGAGGAAAACCATAAACTGCTGCTCCTCATGGATGAAGTAAAGATAAGGGATGAAAACTGAGTGAAATTCTTGCTATTGTATAAAACAGTTACTGACTCCGTTTGATCACTGACATCCTGCAGTTTAATAAATATAGACCAATATAACTAAATACTAATAAATGACTGATTATGAGCTTCTTCATTTTGATCATTCAAGATAAATAATAAATAATCTAATAAATATCCAGGGCTGACTAATAATGAGACTGATGCAGCACCTGCAGAGGAGGAAAAAAACTGCCTTAAAATGTGATGATAATCCTAAACTTTATCTAAAAAACATCATTAATCATTTTAATGACAATAACAGAAACCTGATTGGACGTATGGAAAAAGAAATATTCCAGAATGTCTTTAAACCTTTTCCTGGATCCACAGATAAACGGGAAGATCGAGAAATACTGAGTTTTATAAAATGTAGGAGTTTCCTTGGTTGAAAGTAAATCAAGTTTTAAACCAACTCTGCTGAGAAGGAAGAAATAAAATCCTGAAGTTTGATTTTTACTAGGAGAGCAGGAAGAGCTGAGGATGAGGAGGGTGAAGAGCATGGAGCAGGAGTCAGACGCAGTTTATAAACTATGAACCTGATTCTCCTGCAGAAAAAGGGAATAAAATAAAAGTGGATTTTGGAGATCTGGCTCTGTAAAATCCATGAACACCCTGCTGGAGGTTTGTTGTGATAAACGTCATTATCGGACTGTTTTCATCTATTTTAGAACTCCTAATTAAAATAAGATAACTCTAGAATGAAAATGTAAATGTTTTGGTATGTTTTATTAGTTTACAGGTTTATTACAGGTTGTCCCTTAGATTATTGCATTTTTTAATTTTATTGTTTTATTCATTGTTTCCCAGCTCCTTGTTTTGAACATTTCTGAACAGAAAACTTGATTTTACCTTAACGTTCTGTCTGGTTAATCTGGACCAAATTCTGTGTCCTGATTGATTTTCAGTCTTCAACAAGAAGCATAATTTCTATCAGACGGCCGATGATTAAAGACTGGACCTCTGTCTCTGTCTCCTTGTTCTCAGATGTCTCGTTTTCTGGACATGAAGGAGTTTGGGGAAGCTGCTCGTTTTCTCCGCCTTTCCAACCTGGAGCAGCTGGCTGCCAGGGCCCAGGCCTTTGATGGTAAACCAACCTACCTGCATCAGCCAGAACATTACAATCAATTCTATTCGGTTTATTTCTATAACACCAACATCCCAACATCTCATCTCAGATCATAGAACCAGATCATTTAGTCAGATTGATTCAAAGTTTTCTATCTAAGGAAAACCAACTGACTGCATCGAATCATTGACTCTTCAGCAATCCTTCACACTAAGCATGCTTGTAGCGACAGTGGAGAGGAAAAACTATCTCTTGGCAGAGGGGAGGCAGTGCTTTGCTAACTTTACTTTGGAGGGATTGGAGAGCTGCGGACCCTGAATGAGGACATCATCGGGCAGTGGAAAGAATTCTCTTAGGTTCTCCCTAATCTGGCTGAAGCACCTGGTGTGGTGGAAGAAGTGACTGGGTAACCAGGCCAGATTTATTCATCACTCAGGCCAAAGTCATCAACATGGTCAATAAAACTCCATGGTGGCAGGGGCTGGGAGGTGGAGGAAATTACCTTAGATCTCTGGATGTTTTCAGGCTGTCATGGCTGACACGCCTCTTGAAGATCTCATGTAGGTAATGTGAAATCCTCTGGAGTGGCAGCTATGAACCGAGTAGACTTTAGACCATCTCCAAGCAGTTCGATATTCCTGTGTCCACAGCAGCACTTATTATTCAGATGTAATATCCAAGGGACTGTAGCCAACCTCCCTGCATTTGGCTGCAGGAAGAACATTGGTGACAAATTGGAGACGGAAAGACGTTTGGAAACAAGAGAGCCCAAAAGAACTTCTAAAGAGATAAAAGGTGAAATGCTTCTGGAAAATCAGTCAGATTGCACCCTCTGTCGCTGTTTGAGCCAAAGTGGATTAAATGGGGGACGACCAAGGAGGCACCATTGATGGAAACAAATCTTTAAAACTAGAGAATGTCCAATGGACAGAGGAGACAAATTTGGAGCTTTATGCTAAAAAATATCAGCTAAAAAAAAAAAAAAAAGAGTACTGGCCCTAGTGTAAAACATGGAGGAGGCTGTGATATGCTCTGGGCTGCTTTGCTTCATCTGAATCTCTGCTTTGCTTCCTCTGAATCTCTGCAGGGTCCAATGAAATCTCCGGCTTGATTCCAGTTGCAGGTCTTTAGCAGGAAAACAGAGCTAGAAACAGAGCAGAGGTCTGACTGACAGGAGCAGGAACCAATGATGGTCGACTCTGAAGGCTGGGAACTAAATATGAAGGAACCATCCTGTTATTGTTTCATTCATGTTTTAGATCATTCTGTTAAAGCCTGGATGAAAAACAGCATCTTCTCTACTGTTGTCAGATACCAGTGGTTTCTGTGACCACTGTGGCTTTTCTCTCATTGAATGAGGAGAAGCAACAATTTGTTCCCAGATGATTTATCATGTCAGCTGGTTCTGTCCTGTTGATTCTTCTCATGGTTCTCTAGTGTTTATTTACTTAAAGGACAGAATCCTGAAAGGTTGACATTATTCTGCCTAACACCTGCATACGCTGATCTGTTCCAGGGACGAAGCGTGTTTGGATGCCAGATGAAGCTGAAGCGTACGTTGAGGTGGAGGTCAGAGAGCTGGATGGAGACAAGGCAACGGTGGAGACCAGAGATGGACGGGTTGGTTGACCTCTTCATTTCCTTATTAGTCTATTTATGAGGTGGTTGCTCCTGTATGGGCTTCAGAGTGACGACATTTTTTTTCTGATTTCACAATCAAATTGAGGACCAGTTGTTGTACAGTGGGGAGATTTTCTTGGTCCATCACCCCGGTCCTCCGACAGTGAAAATGGCTCCCCGTGCAGCCCCCCTGGCTCCCCATGCAGCCCCCCTGGCTCCCCGTGCAGCTCCTCTGGCTCCCCATGCAGCCCCCCTCGCTCCCTGTGCAGCCCCCCTGGCTCCCCATGCAGCCCCCCTGGCTCCCCATGCAGCCCCCCTGGCTCCCCGTGCAGCTCCTCTGGCTCCCCGTGCAGCCCCCCTGGCTCCCCATGCAGCCCCCCTGGCTCCCCGTGCAGCTCCTCTGGCTCCCCATGCAGCCCCCCTCGCTCCCCGTGCAGCTCCTCTGGCTCCCCATGCAGCCCCCCTCGCTCCCTGTGCAGCCCCCCTGGCTCCCCATGCAGCTCCTCTGGCTCCCCATGCAGCTCCTCTGGCTCCCCGTGCAGCTCCTCTGGCTCCCCGTGCAGCTCCTCTGGCTCCCCGTGCAGCTCCTCTGGCTCCCCGTGCAGCCCCCCTGGCTCCCCGTGCAGCTCCTCTGGCTCCCCGTGCAGCCCCCCTGGCTCCCCATGCAGCCCCCCTGGCTCCCCGTGCAGCTCCTCTGGCTCCCCATGCAGCCCCCCTCGCTCCCTGTGCAGCCCCCCTGGCTCCCCATGCAGCCCCCCTGGCTCCCCGTGCAGCTCCTCTGGCTCCCCATGCAGCCCCCCTCGCTCCCCGTGCAGCTCCTCTGGCTCCCCATGCAGCCCCCCCTCGCTCCCTGTGCAGCCCCCCTGGCTCCCCATGCAGCCCCCCTGGCTCCCCATGCAGCTCCTCTGGCTCCCCATGCAGCCCCCCTCGCTCCCTGTGCAGCCCCCCTGGCTCCCCATGCAGCCCCCCTGGCTCCCCATGCAGCCCCCCTGGCTCCCCGTGCAGCCCCCCTCGCTCCCTGTGCAGCCCCCCTGGCTCCCCGTGCAGCCCCCCTCGCTCCCTGTGCAGCCCCCCTGGCTCCCCGTGCAGCCCCCCTGGCTCCCCATGCAGCTCCTCTGGCTCCCCATGCAGCCCCCCGCGCTCCCCCTGCAGCTCCTCTGGCTCCCCATGCAGCCCCCCTCGCTCCCCGTGCAGCCCCCCTGGCTCCCCATGCAGCCCCCCTGGCTCCCCGTGAAGCTCCTCTGGCTCCCCATGCAGCCCCCCTGGCTCCCCATGCAGCTCCTCTGGCTCCCCATGCAGCTCCTCTGGCTCCCCATGCAGCCCCCCTCGCTCCCCGTACAGCCCCACTGGCCCCCCTTGAAGCTCCCCTGGTTCCCCATTCAGCTCAACTGGCCCCCCCATGAAGCTTCACTGTCCCCCCGTGAAGCTCCACTGTCCCCCCATGCAGCTCCCCTGGCCCCCTGTGCAGATCCCCTGGCCCCCCGTGAAGCTCCACTGTCCCCCCATGCAGCTCCTCTGGCCCCCCGTGAAGCTCCACTGTCCCCCCATGCAGCTCCCCTGGCCCCCCGTGCAGCTCCCCTGGCCCCCCGTGCAGCTCCACATTCAATATAAATGAATTCATATCTGTCAGGCCTACTGCATGTTCCCACCCCCTCGCATGCTCTCAGATCCTCTGTCTGTCCCTTCTGCCCCTCTCTCCACTATGGGGAGCAGAGCACCCCCCCCTCCTGGATCTCTCTACCAGCCCTGTTTAGAAAGACGGACTCACTTCTCCATTTCAAACCACAACTGAAAACTCTTCTTTTTAAGATTCTCTTTAATATCACTTTCCCAGCCTTTGTATTTTTAAATGGTTTTTATTCTGTTTTTATCTTGTATGGTGACCTTGAGTGTCCAGAAAGGCGCCTTTTACATCAAATGTATTATATTTATTATTATTCTCATGAGTAAATTTTTTAACCTTTAGGTTTAAGGCTGAGGTTTAAACTGAGTTTAGTTTTACGAGGGTGATGTATGCACTGGTAATGGTTAGGTGTAGGTTAGGGTTAGGTTAGGGTTAAGGCAGAGGAAGGGTTGAAAATGATCAATCAATGGAAGCTAATGGGAGTAGACTTTTTTTCTCATTACCTATAGGAAATAGACAGGTTAAACCTTCCCATCAGCTGCTGATCTAATTCCATTTTCCAAACCTCTAAGGTGAGAAAAACGAGTTTCAGTTCTGACTGAAGATTCTGGTTTCAGTTTCTGGTCGTTAAAGAAAATGAGCTGCAGCCGCTGAACCCTCCGAAGTTTGACATGATGGAGGACATGGCCATGCTGACCCATCTAAATGAACCTGCAGTGCTCTTCAACCTCCGGAGGAGATACAGCATGTGGATGATCTATGCAAGTGTCACAGAGACCTTTTAGAGCCTGACCTGTGAGACGGCCAAATAATAAGAAAACTTTTCCTTTCAGACGTACTCCGGTCTGTTCTGTCTGGCGGTGAATCCCTACAAATGGCTGCCGGTTTACTCTGCAGCCGTGGTTACAGCCTATAAAGGGAGGCGCTATGCAGACATGCCCCCCCACATCTACGCTGTAGCTGACAATGCCTACAGCGACCTGCTAATAAGTGAGTGGCCTCCAACTCAGACCTGTTCTCTGCTAAGCAGGAAATCAGTTGTTGACGACATAGAAACAGACTTTATTGTTCTCCTGTGGGAAAATCCTCTGGACTTTCAGTCTTAATATAATCAAACTGAAGCTTTTTCTGGGAAAGATGTCTGCCTAAGATGAAAGCAGATCCTTCAGTTATTTCCACCAATAAGTTCAATCAATTAGGATATCTCAGACCAAATTACTTTATTCTTGTGACCTTTTACCAGAAAGATCAGAGCATCATTTACTCACTTGGTTTAACTTTCTCCACAGATCGAGAGAACCAGTCGATGCTCATCACGTAAGTCTGACTCACTGCTCCTCTTCTCAGGAGAAGAGCTGGTTTTATTGCTGCACTCTTTGGATTTAAAAATTATAAAGTTAATAATAATAAAATAATGTAGTGACATCACAGCTCAGCAAGGATTTTATTTGAGAAGTAGAGTTTATCTAAAGGAGTTTTTTAGAATGAGGTCAGAGTAGCTTTCTTTCCAAAAAAGTTAAAAATCAATCCTCTGGACTTTGTTTCCAAGTTTGAAGACGTCTAATAGCGTTTAGTTCCAGGTTTTATCCAGCAGCCCAACAAAGCCTGGTTTTAGTTTAGAAAACATGCAAATAGAAACGGATGAACGGGTCCCCCCCTTTGGAATGGGGGTCGGTTGGCTTCTTTGTTAGCCTGCAATGCCCCATACCTGTCTATGTCTCTGAAAGGAGGGTCATTAAAAGGGACACCCCCCCCCGGTTTAAGGTTGGTGTTTCTTTCTTAACATAGATACTTCCTTCCTCTCAAACCGCCTGTCTTCTTTGTCCAAAATGTGAACATTCTGGTCCTCCAGAGAATGTCCTTCGTCCATCAGGTGTAGACGTAGTGCAGAGTCTTGTCCAGAGGAGGGCGCTCTTCTGTGTTGGGTCATGCGTCTGTGGAGAGGTTGTTTGGTTTCTCTAACATAAAGATCAGATCATTCCTCCCTGCATTGACCTGCAGACACTCTGCTCAGATTAGGTCTTTAGGAGGAACTAGTCTCTGTTTCAGGGTCTGTTTGGTTTGAAAGGTTCTGGGATTTAGTGTTTGGAGAAAATCCTCCTGAGTTTTTCAGAGACTCCAGCAACATCTGGGATTTAGTTTTTTTGTGTGATCTTCTCACCGTTATGTTCTGCTGCGTGTCTTTGGGATTTCGTCCAGTTTGGGTCTCCACAGGTTTGGAGAGCATCTCTGATGTTTCTGTTCTAGTAGGGACATGTTCTGCTGCTGGAAGGTTCTGATGACTGACAGTTTGTGTTCCAGTGGGGGGGTGGGAGTCAGAAAGAAGGTATTGGATTTCCTATAGACTTCTATGTTTAGGCTTCCATCTCCTTCCATGCTCACCAGACCAGAAGGGTAGCTTGTTGTCCTCATCATCCTCTCTGGTGCCCATCAAAACAAGGCTTTGTTTTTGGTCCACTCTATAAAACCTGGAACTAAACACTAATTATGACATTTTGAATTGAAAAAGCTTCCTGGATGGGAAGAGAAACATCTTCAAACTTGGAATGAGTCTGACCCGGATGACTGAGACTCTTCACCAGCAGCCAGATTAGCTTGTAACTAACTTAGAGCGATTAGAAAGTGTTCAAACCAATTCACAATGCAAATCCAAGAAGAAAATAAAACATTATTTGGTTAAAAAAAAGATTAACCTTAACAGGAAATCAGTAACCTTTAGATGATCTATTCCTGAGAGAACAGTTAAAGGACCAGCTAGCTTCCTTAGGCTTAGCTCTTATGAACAGTCTCACTATTTAATCTCAGCTCATTGTGTGTGAGCAGATATTCATCCAAGTTACTGCAAATAATGTCATTATGGTTCAGTAAGTAGTTATTTATTTTATTAAATCACCAAACGATGCTAAACTGTATCCTATAAAACTTTTTAAAGGCTTTTCTGAGAGAATTTCATGCTTTTTTACATTTTCACCATTAATTTGCTGGTCTGACATCATCATGGGACAGAGCAGTCTGGCAAAATATGATTACTTGCATTTTATTTGGGCCTTTCCTTAGATTTTGCACTATATGCAAAACAAAATGACTCTATTAACCGAAATATCCGATGCCAGCTTCTGACTGAGGGTAGGATCCTGTTTCCTGGACAACGGCACAGACGAGTAATATAACAGGAAGCCTGTAAATGCAGATATTATTAACACTTTACACATTATAGTTTTGTACAGTTATTATAATTAGAAAGAAAGACGTTATTTTTCTAAAGCACAATGGAGGGGAATCTGGATGTATTTCTGGATGCAGAAATGGGCTGATGCTACAGATCAGGTCGTGACAAACGGAGCTAGAAGCTAGCAGACGTGAGGGGACTCATCTTAACGGACTCTTTGGACATATTTAAACAATTAAATGCAATAAGCATGAGAGGAAACATATACATGTTAATATTATATTAGTGTTTAATCCCTTGGTGAAGTAACAGTTTGTGGAGCTTTATGTTCTTAAAACATGTCAGCGTGGCGTACCTTTAGCTTATTTTTAGCTTGCATGACTGTTAAAACATAAAAATAATCTAAAACCCCAATTCTTTTGCTGGAAACATTTCTCCTGATTTTTCCAGACATGTAATCATGCTGATCATTTTGTAAAGGTGAGGCATCACCAAAGTTCAGGAAATCTTAGCGCAGGCTGTGTTGCTGAATGTTAGGATGGCCTGGATTAAAGGCCGTAGATCCATATAGTTCCAGTCTTTGCTCTGCAAACCCAGGGAGAGATTTAGCAGAAAGTGTGTTTTACAGCTCATGAATCCTCACCGGGAGCAATGGTTGAGGAAAGAAGTCAATGTTGTCTTTGCTCTCCCTGAGGAGTCTCATGTAGAAGCTGCTTTGTATCACAGCAGGTCCTAAAACTTAGCTGCTTGAGCTGAGATTAGGTCCTTTCAAAAAAAACACCAAATCTATAAATTTGCCATCTTGATATAAAACAATTTACACCTCATTTTGATCCTGAAAATGTTTACTTTGTTCGTTTTGATCCATAAAATAATTATTCCACTGGGTGTGATCAGCAGACGTGAACATTTGTACAGTGCTGCCACCTGCTGGCCGTACTGACTGACCCTAACCATCAGCTTTACTGGCTTCCAGAGATGGGAAGTAACGAAGTACAAATACTTTGTTACTGTACTCAAGTAGATGTTTCTGATATTTTTACTTTACTTTATGGCAACTTTTGACTTCTACTCCTTACATTTTTACACAAATATCTGTACTTTCTACTCCTTACATTTTAAAAAATTGTCTCGTTACTTTAGTTTCGAATCATTTCAATTGAGTTACCGTTATTATTTTTCACGTCATCAATACCAAATTCGATCTAATTGGATGGGAATCTACGTTGCATTTGACGCACCACTACAAGATGAATCGACAGATTCGGCGGTATTCATTGGCGGCGAATCATTGCAGCTTGGTGGCGGTGGCGTTAGCATAGTAGCATGGACGACGAGATGATTGAAAATGAACACAACGGAGATCTAGTCCTATTGGCAGACATCCATTTAAAATGTAGGCAACGGCATGAAAAAAGTGGTTTCTACTTTTACTTTTATACTTTAAGTAAATTTACAAGCCTGTACTTTGTTACTTTTACTTGAGTAAAGAAGTTTAATCAGTACTTCCACTTTTACCAGAGTATTTTTTAACACAAGTATCTGTACTTTTACTCAAGTACGGAAAGTGAGTACTTTTGCCATCTCTGCTGGCTTCATCATCTAGACTTTTTCCTGTTTATCCCTCTGCTCCAGAAATGCTGACCTTTCTGGCTATTTTAGCAAAGTGTAAAAACAAAATATAATCAGTCAATAGGGGGCGCCATAATTAAATTGTAAAGCCATTATATGAAGGGGAGGGAGCTCCTGGTGTTTGATTGAAAAAGAGTCAGAATAAGATGGAGCACTCCCCTGATGGCTGCCATGTTGGCCTTAGAAACACTTTAATCAATTAATTTAGAGGAAGACAGTTGGTTTTCTCACCATTCAGCATCATGTAAACACATCAGGAAATCAGCAGTAGAACCGCCTTCCTGACCTTCAGACCGCTCCTGTTTCTCTGCGTTCTTCATCAGCGGAGAGTCCGGAGCAGGAAAAACTGTCAACACCAAGAGGGTGATCCAGTACCTAGCAACCGTTGCTGCTCTGGGAGGAAATGTGAAGAGAGAAGTAAGTACTTTGTTTTTGTTGCCCTTCGGTAGCATCTTGTTGTGTTCAGCTGAGTTTCCTGCAGCCTGCTGGACTCTGCTTCCCCTCAGCGCTCCTTAGAGGACCAGATCGTTGAAGCCAATCCAGCAATGGAGGCATTTGGAAATGCCAAAACCATCCGGAATGACAACTCGTCTCGCTTTGTGAGTCCAGTTATCTGATCGGCCAATGACAGGGTGCTGCAGACTCCTGATGGTTGTCTCTGATTGGGTATTCCAGGGAAAGTTCATCAGGATTCATTTTGGTCCAAGTGGGAAGTTGGCTTCTGCTGACGTCAACATCTGTGAGTTGGATTATTACACAGCAGCTCTAGATTTTATGATGTATGGAGCTTGTAGTGCTTCTAGATCCTCTGCTGCCAAACTATGCAACCAGTGAGCAGGAAGTTATCATTTTACCCAGAATATTTCTCAGATTCATAAAAAACAATGCAGGTCATGATTTCAACCTTTATTCCCTCAGATCTTCTGGAAAAATCCAGAGTCGTGTTTCAGCAACCAGGAGAGAGAAGCTACCACATCTACTACCAGATTCTGTCCAATCAAAAGCCAGAGCTGCAAGGTGACCACGTCCACATGATGACATCATCAGTGATAACAAACATGACAGCAGCTGACACATCAACGTTATACACAGGCTTTGGTCTGGAAATGGTTTTCACACACAGTAGTTTCCCTTTGACTCCTCATTGATTTAATATTCATGTGAAAAAAGAATTAAACTTAATCAGGACTTTCCTGTTTACTTTATTATCTTTGAGAGCATAAAATTCTTTCTATGCTCCAATTCACAATAAATGTCATCTCAGGTCACTTCATAGATCCAGACCAATTAGACCATCCAGTCAGATTGCTTCAAGTTTTATTTAATTCTATTCAGTGTATTTCTATAGCACCAATTCCCATCATGTCATCTCAGGTCACTTTCCAGTTCACCAGATCATCCAGTCAGATTGATTCAAAGTTTTCTATCTAAGGAAAACCAGCTGATTGCATCGATTCATTGACTCTTCAGCAATCCCTCACACTAAGCATGCTTGTAGCGACAGTGGAGAGGAAAAACTCCCTTTGAACAGGAAGAAACCTCCAGCAGAACCAGGCTCAGTGTGAGCGGCCATCTGCTGAGGCCCACTGGGGTTCAAGGAGACGGACACAACGGGTCCTCTTATACAGCAGTAAACTATTTTTCCAGACTAGGAAGGACTCCCGCAGGCCTGTGGAGCGATATTTTCTCTGCAGTTTCCTAGCATTTTGCTTCAAACTGCGCAGCTCTGCATTAAACCAAGGAGCCAGTTTTCTATTTTCAATGTTTTTCATTTTCAAAGGATCTGCGTTGTCTAAGGCAATACGCGGAGAACTAGCAACCCCATCAACAAAATCATCAACCTGTGAAGGGGAATAAGCTAAGCTTTTGCACTCTGCAGCACTGCTCAGTGACACAGAGCAGAGAGAAAGTGAAGCAGATTCTTTAAAATTTATAACTGCACTATCTGATAAAGATCTACTAAAATGTAACCTTCTTTTGGGGGAGGAGAACTCTGTTAAAGTAATCCTGAAGGTTATTAGAAAGTGGTCAGAGAGGACAGGGTTGTGAGGAAATCCTGTTATTTCTTCACATTCTATGCCGTATGTCAGCACAAGATCCAAAGTATGAAGATGAGAATGCGTGGGACTATTCACATTTTGAACAAAGCCAATAGTGTCTAAGATAGCATTAAAGGCTGCTCTTAAGCTATCGCCTTCAATGTCAGCATGGATGTTAAAATCTCCCACTATGATGACCCTGTCAGTATTTAATACCAAATCAGAAAGGAACTCTGAAAACTCATCTAAAAATTCAGAGTAAGGACCTGGTGGACGATACAAAGTTACAAAAAGAAGAGGTTTTCTTGCCTTGAAATTTGGATCAGGGAAATTAAGGGTTAAATGTTCAAAAGAGTTGTAGGTATTAATTGTTTTGGGAGTAATCAGTAAGTCAGACTGGAAGATTGCTGCTACTCCTCCTCCTCGCCCAGAACTTCTGGGGATGTGAAAATTTAAATAGCTTGAAGGAGTTGCCTCATTTATGCTCACATAATCCTCTTGCTGCAGCCAGGTTTCTGTAAGGCAACACAAGTCAATGTGATTATCACAAATCAAGTCATTAACTAACAAACCTATTAAAGTGAGATATCTTATTTTAAATAAACTGCATTTATTTGCTTTTTTTTGAATTTGGAGTCATTTTAATTTCAATTAGATAATCATTATTTACAGATTTTAATCCCCTAGGAAAATAAAGGGCCCTGAAGGCATCATGTGTTTCTACTAACAATGAAGAAATGTTGCCCAGTGCGTTTTGGATTCAAACACAATGATTTGACCTGATAATGTGATCAATGTGTTGCAGACATGCTGCTGGTGACGACCAACCCGTACGACTATCACTTCTGCTCCCAGGGGGTGACCACGGTGGAGGGGATCTGTGACGACCAGGAGCTGATCCTCACTGACGTAGGAGACCCTCCTCAGACCCCCCAACCCTCCCCACCACCCCCCCACCCCCACACACACCTTTCGCTGAGAAGTAAACTGTGATTCCTGTCTGCTTGTGCGCAGCGAGCCATGGACACACTGGGCTTCACTCCAGAGGAGAAGTATGGCTGCTATAAAATCGTTGGAGCCATCATGCACTTCGGGAACCTGAAGTTCAAGAAGAAACAGAGAGAGGAGCAGGCGGAGGCTGATGGAACAGAAAGTAGGTGTTTATAGAAGCTAGCATGTCTCCTAATTAAAGGCTAAATCTGTTTTCTTATCAGGAATAATATAGATTCAATTCTATTCAGTTTATTTCTATAGCGCCAATTTACTACACGTCATCTCAGGTCACTTTCCAGTTCACCAGATCATCCAGTCAGATTGATTCAAAGTTTTCTATCTAAGCAAAAACCAACTGATTGCATCGACTCATTGACTCTTCAGCAATCCCTCACACTAAGCATGCTTGTAGCGACAGTGGAGAGGAAAAACTCCCTTTGAACAGGAAGAAACCTCCAGCAGAACCAGGCTCAGTGTGAGCGGCCATCTGCTGAGGCCCACTGGGGTTCAAGGAGACAGAAGCAGACATAGAAAAAGAAGCATAGATACAAAAGGCAACTGTCAACCAGCTCCACAGGCGGCCCCGTCCAGGAAACACACAGCCAGGCAGACGAGCTCCGAGCCAGCTCCCATGTCAGAGGATGAAGAGAGCACATCCAGTTAGTCACAGTCAGAGAAACAGGACTACACTGGAAAACAGGCCAAGCTCCAACATCTAGAAACAAAGGTGTTGATGGCAGCAGCACAGCTGATATTTCTCTCCAGGATGGAGTCACAGCCAAACAGGAACAGACCAGATGAAGCTACTATGAGAAAAAGCAGAGAGAGCAGAACGTTAGAGATTGAACTAACAGATTCTGCAGAGTGGGAGAATAGAGATAGAATGAAGCAGAATGATGAAAAAGGGGTCCCTATGTCCTCCAGCAGTCTAAGCCTATAGCAGCAGAACTATAGAGATAGCTCAGGATAACCTGAGCCACCCTAACTAGAAGCTTTATCAAAAAGGAAAGTTTTAAGCCTAGCCTTAAAAGTAGACAGGGTGTCTGCCTCACGGACTAAAACTGGTAGTTGGTTCCACAGGAGAGGAGCCTGATAACTAAAAGATCTGCCTCCCATTCTACTTTTAGAAATTCTAGGAACCACTAGTAAACCTGCAGATTGAGAGCGAAGTGCTCTGTTAGGAACATAAGGAACAATCAGATCTCTGATATCAGATGGAGCTTGGCCATTTAAGGCTTTATATGTGAGAAGGAGGATTTTAAATTCTATTCTGGATTTAACAGGAAGCCAATGAAGAGAAGCCAGGATAGGAGAGATATGATCTCTCTTTTTCATTTTCATCAGAACTCTGGCTGCAGCATTTTGGATCAGCTGAAGGCTTTTAACTACAGTTTGTGGACTTCCTGATAGTAAAGAATTACAATAGTAGCAACCCCATCAACAAAATCATCAACCTGTGAAGGGGAATAAGCTAAGCTTTTGCACTCTGCAGCACTGCTCAGCGACACAGAGGAGAGAGAAAGTGAAGCAGATTCTTTAAAATTTCTTACTGCTCTATCTGATAAAGATCTACTAAAATGTAACCTTCTTTTGGGGGAGGAGAACTCTGTTAAAGTAATCCTGAAGGTTATTAGAAAGTGGTCAGAGAGGACAGGGTTGTGAGGAAATACTGTTATTTCTTCACATTCTATGCCGTATGTCAGCACAAGATCCAAAGTATGAAGATGAGAATGCGTGGGACTATTCACATTTTGAACAAAGCCAATAGTGTCTAAGATAGCATTAAAGGCTGCTCTTAAGCTATCGCCTTCAATGTCAGCATGGATGTTAAAATCTCCCACTATGATGACCCTGTCAGTATTTAATACCAAATCAGAAAGGAACTCTGAAAACTCATCTAAACATTCAGAGTAAGGACCTGGTGGACGATACAAAGTTACAAAAAGAAGAGGTTTAAGACCTGAAAGATGCAGCCTCCATCATCATCCTGTCATTTGCATCAGCTCTGCAGGAAGTTTCCTGCTAGAAATAAACTCTGAATTAATTTGAAGTTTCGATAGAAATTAACAAAATAAACAGGAACATGTATCTTTGTGACAAAGAAGCTCTGGTTCTGCTTCAGGCCTTGTTAGAGCTCATCCAAAATGTTAGCTCATGTAAAGGTAAATGGGAAACAGGACCCAGGGTGGATGGGATGAGTGTTACTGTTAAAGTGGATGACTGAGTGAAAACTAAACTATGGGGAAAAGCCTGGATTGACTCATTTTACTACTATGCTGTGAGAAAACCTAATCTAGAAATGACAGAAGACAATACATATGATGGCGTGCTTTGGTGGTGCAGTGGTTAGCGCACGCTACCCTCGTAGGGAGGCTTTAGTTCTCGACGTGGCCGACCCAGGTTGCAATCTGTGGTCCTTTTCGCGCATGTCTCTCCCTTCTCTTATACCCTTTTCCTGTCAGCCTACTGTTGATAAAAAGGAGCTGCTAGTGCCATAAAAACTCAAAGAGAAAAGACAATACATATGAAAAACTAGAGCAAATATTAAATAAATACTGAATGCAATCAAAGAGAACTTAAAAAAACACCAAGAAAAAAAAAATGGGGGGGTGGAGTTAAGGTCTTGCTCAGGGACCCAGAGTGGCAGACTGTGGGAGTGGGTTTGGAACTCTCAACCTCAGGATTCTGAGCTCTATGCCCTAACCACTAGGCCGCCCCTCCACCTAGAATAACATGAATAAAAGCATAACTGAAAACCTGAACTGAACCATAAAACCCAAAGCAGCAGATCAGGACAATGGATGAAATATTAGCAGGTCTGAGGCCATTTGGTTCAGGATCATAGATTTCAAACCCTAGATTTGTCCTTCCATCATGATCTCTAAGGGCTGCAGAGCTGAGCCCAGATGCATCGTTCCTTAAAGCCTAATATCTGCTTCCAAAGCAGAGAGTCAGATGATCCAGAAACATTTCATCAGCTTCCCGTTGAATTCAGTTTATTTCTATAGCTCCAATTCACACCATGTCTTCTCAGGTCACTTTATAGAGACAGTTCAACCAGATCATCCAGTCACATTAAAGGTTCAAAGTTTTCTATCTAAGGGAAAGCAGCTGATTGCGTTCACTCATTGCAGATATTCCCCTGCATTCAGTGTCTGTGCAGCGTGCCAGAAGGTTCTTTGTTCTTTCTCTGTCTTGCATCCAGGTGCTGACAAGGCAGCGTACCTGATGGGCATCAGCTCCTCCGAGCTGCTGAAGGGACTCCTGAACCCAAGAGTGAAAGTTGGAAATGAGTTCATAGTGAGAGGGCAGACTGTGGAGCAGGTAACCAGGAGATTCATCTCTGATTCACATAAAGTGGACTTGAATGAGTGGTTCCCGCCTGTGCCCGGCCCCAGGTGAACTACGCGGTGGCAGCTCTGGCCAAAGCCACGTACGACCGAATGTTCAAGTGGATGGTGGAACGAATCAACCTGTCTCTGTACACCGCTCTGCCTCGTCAGTACTTCATAGGAGTGCTGGACATTGCTGGGTTCGAGATCTTTGAGGTAAAACAAGAATCAGACCAACAAACAGGAAGTTCAGGTTCTAGACAGCTTCCAGAACCTTCAAAGGACTGGATACTTTAGCTTTCATAATCAATAGCTTTGCTTAAGCTTTTTGAACGTTCTGATATCAAACCTGCTTCCACCAGGAGAACCCACTGAGATCATTAGAAAGTACTAATCTACTGATATATACTAGCTATATTACTGCTTTCAAAGTAAAGGCCTATAAAACCCTATGCTGGAGATGAACAGTTTTAAGGAGGACCTGCCAAAGTTTTAGGAAGTTATTTTCAAATGATCAGCTTTTCATGACGCTTAATTACTAGTCTAGGAACTGCAGACATCATGTGCACCTTCTCCCACAGCTCAACAGCTTTGAACAGTTGTGCATCAACTTCACCAACGAGAAGCTGCAGCAGTATTTCAACCACCACATGTTCATCCTGGAGCAGGAGGAGTACAAGACTGAAGGGATTGAGTGGACCTTCATAGACTATGGCCTGGACTTACAGGCCTGCATCGACCTGATAGAGAGGGTAAGTCTGGCGTTACCTGGAGGAGGACGGAGACACAGCATGCTGGTGAAGATTCTAAGTTATCCAGATCATAGTTATTACAGAAAAGTTCAAATCAATCCACTGGACTTTGTTTCCAAGTTTGAAGATGTTTCTCTTCCATCCAGGAAGCTTTTTCAATTCAAAATGTCAGAAAGAGCGTTGAGTTCCAGGCTTTAGTAGCCCAGACCTACTGTATAAACCGCCATTGCAAAGGGGTGGACCGTTTTTGGTCAACTCTATACAACCTGGAACTCAACACCATTTCTGACATTTTTAATTGAAAAAGCTTCCTGGATGGAAGAGAAACATCTTTAAATTTGGAAACAAAGTCCAATAGATTGTTTTTGAACATTTTTGAAAGGAAGAGACAGTCTACATCCAATCACAGTAAGCTGCTGTTGTTTGTGTGTAAAGCCAATGGGAATCCTGTCCATCATGGAGGAGGAGTGCATGTTCCCCAAATCCACCGACCACAGCTTCAAAACCAAGTTATATGACAATCATCTGGGAAAATCTCCTAACTTCCAAAGACCACGGCCTGACAGGAAGCGCAAATATGAGACGCACTTTGAGCTGGTTCACTACGCTGGAGTGGTGGGTGGACCGATAGATGATGGATGGATGGATGGATGGATGGATGGATGGTGGTTGGATGGTGGTTGGATGGTGGTTGGATGGTGGTTGGATGGATGGATGGATGGATGGTGGGTGGGTGGTGGTTGGATGGTGGTCGGATGGTGGTTGGATGGTGGTTGGATGGATGGATGGATGGATGGTGGGTGGGTGGTGGTTGGATGGTGGTCGGATGGTGGTTGGATGGTGGTTGGATGGATGGATGGATGGATGGATGGATGGTGGGTGGGTGGTGGTTGGATGGTGGGTGGATGGTGGTTGGATGGTGGTGGGATGGTTGGATGGTGGTGGGATGGTTGGCTGGTGGTTGGATGGTGGTTGGATTGTGGTCGGATGGTGGTTGGATGGTGGTTGGATGGATGGATGGATGGATGGTGGGTGGGTGGTGGTTGGATGGTGGTGGGATGGTTGGATGGTGGTGGGATGGTTGGCTGGTGGTTGGATGGTGGTTGGATTGTGGTCGGATGGTGGTTGGATGGTGGTTGGATGGATGGATGGATGGATGGATGGTGGGTGGGTGGTGGTTGGATGGTGGGTGGATGGATGGATGGATGGATGGTGGGTGGGTGGTGGTTGGATGGTGGTGGGATGGTTGGATGGTGGTGGGATGGTTGGCTGGTGGTTGGATGGTGGTTGGATTGTGGTCGGATGGTGGTTGGATGGTGGTTGGATGGATGGATGGATGGATGGATGGTGGGTGGGTGGTGGTTGGATGGTGGGTGGATGGTGGTTGGATGGTGGTGGGATGGTTGGATGGTGGTGGGATGGTTGGCTGGTGGTTGGATGGTGGTTGGATTGTGGTCGGATGGTGGTTGGATGGTGGTTGGATGGTGGTTGGATTTTCTGCTAACATCTTCTCTGTGGATTTAGGTTCCGTATAACATCACAGGTTGGCTGGATAAGAACAGAGATCCTCTGAATGAGACGGTGGTCACTTTGTTCCAGAAATCATCCAATAAGCTCATGGCTGCGCTTTATGAGACCTACCTGTGCTCTGAAACAGGTAAGTCACTGAATGACCATCTAACCAGCGGCCACTGACCCAGCCAGCAACCATTGCCCTGGTATCTGTTATGACAGCTGCAGACCACAAGGGGGAGACCAAACAGAGGAGGAGAAAGGCTGCATCTTTCCAGACTGTTTCACAGATTCACAAGGTTAGTGAACTGAAAGGATAAAATCTAACGAGATAATTCCGTTGTATCTTTTCTGGTGTCATGTCACCAGGATGCTCAGAACAAGGCTGCCGGGTTTATTTATGTTGCTGGCAGTTTTTCTACCAGGGATAAAATATTTTCTAATTTTTGACACAATCTCTAAACGTTCCAGACATGTCCCGTTTTATTGACTGATGTCGTCTGTAAAGATTACCCTGTAGAACGCACCATGGAGTCTGAAGGAGGAGGGTCTTGAGGAGTCAGGAAGCTGAGGCAGAGGCATTTCTTGCAAGAAAAAATGTTCAAATTTATTTAACGTCCTCAGACGGGGAGATAGAGCTCAGGGAAGATCTGATTAGCAGTTCTCTAAACTGGTGAGAATCTGTGCTAATAAAAGCTTTGATGTATAGATCTGATCCTCAGCTTTTCCCACCGATAGAAGATTAAACCTCGTCTGCAGGGACATAAACTTTGCAGAAGGAGACGTTTGTAGCCCTAGAATCTCTTTTGGTCTTTCCTTAAGTCTGGTCTGATCACTATACTCTGCTTAGAGCCAAACCTGACCTGGTAAATATGCCTTCAGTGACTCTCAGACAGAGAGGACATTCCAGGGCCATGCCTGGATCAAAGGCCAACTGTTCCCTACAACGGAAAAATAAATGAAGCTTTTTTATCAGAATAGCTGCCCTCAGGCTGTGAGTGGAAATTAGAAGGAAAAGTTAGTTTTTCTGCTCAGATGTGCCTCCTGAAGAAATGTACTATTTATATGAAGCAGTTTCAGGTGTGTAAATACAGTTTTTACACTGATTCAGTGACCTGACCTCCCAGCTCACCAAGGTTCCCCTCTGAGAATATTGGTATCAGTCATAAGAGGGTGAAAACGTTATGACTGAGGAGCCGACAGATGTCAGATGTTTTTACGCACAGATGTGTGTGAAAACCCAGGCTCAATCAATGGAAGCAACATCTGCATGTTCATTTAGAAAAATCTAGATCCAATTAGACTAAGGCCTGGAAAAGCATTTTCCTGCTGCTCCCGCCCCCCTCCCCCCCCCTGCCTGTCCCTGCCTTGCTGTGTCTTGTCTTTTCTGAAGTCCAAGCGCTTCTGGGCCCTTTGGACCAGTGAGGTGGTGTTTCCAGTCCAGGTGAGGGTGTCTGTGATGAATGTGGTGCTGCTGACCACCTCTACAGCTGAGCTGTTGATGAGCAGTGGAGCGTGGTTAGAACGCTTCTTCCTGAAGTCTTGAACGCCATCTTCAGAGTTCCAGCATCAATCTCTGGGATGATTGGCGGGCGTTCGGACCTAAGGAGACAGTGGAAGTCGTGCTGGAGGCGATGCTGGTTTGGCTGACCCTGCAAACGTATATTTATGCAGATCTGCTGCTATCTGCAGTCGGTGTATTTAACTTTAATATGTTCCAAACAGGGTTTTGCCTATCAACTTAATTATTAAGTTAAAATAAAACATGCGCTTTTGGAACCCTTGTTTTATAAAATAAGAACATGGGCTCCTAATTGGGAGGGGCAGTGATGGCCTAGTGGTTAGAGCATAGAGCTTGGAATCCAAAAGATCTGAGTTCAACTCCCACAGACTGCCACTCTGAGGCCTTGAGCAAGACCCTTAACACCACACTGCTCCCCAGGCACCCACAATGGCAGCCCACTGCTCCCCAAGGGAATTGGTTAAATGCAAAGTTAAATTCCTCCATTGTGAGGTCATTAAAGTTCAGTTATCAATTGTTCTTAAAACGATAGTTGGATGAACAGCCGAGTCTGACAGGAGGACTGACAGGAAGTCCCTCCCCATGAAACAAAATCTTCACTTTTTGTCTTTCGCAGGAGAACCTGAACAAGCTGATGGCGAATCTCCGCAGCACTAAGCCTCACTTTGTTCGCTGCATCATCCCCAACGAGAGCAAGAGTCCAGGTATACGAGTCAGACTTGTGTGTTTTATCCCCGGCTAGTCAGATCATTTTGACGGGTTCTGGTGTCTGCTTCCCAGGGGTAATGGATCCTTTCCTGGTCCTCCATCAGCTGAGGTGTAACGGAGTCCTGGAGGGGATTCGGATTTGCAGGATAGGCTTTCCAAACCGGATCATTTATGCTGAATTCAGACAGCGGTGAGTTCCCAAGCCAACATGGACTTAAGGTTTGGATCCAGTTCCTGGGATCTGGACCAACTTGATATTGGTGGAAGCAGCTTTCTGACGAACGTTTTCCATCTCTGAACGTTGATCCAACCAAGCTGTTATTGGGACACTCCGGAGTGTCTCAGGCCTCCCCCAGAGGGTGTACCACCCCCACCCCCCCTTCTTGCCCCCTGCCGCACCTCGGCTGAGACATTCCTGAGGTGAGACGTCTGATCCAGTCCTCATACAGACTGTCTGGTTCACTGGGACAACCAGAACCCCCACCATCCAGGAGAACCGAGGACTGGCCGGTACCCTTCAACCAGCTTTTATTGTCATTCCATCTGTACAAAGCAATGATTAGCAGATAACCCATCCCCTTGGGGAGCAGTGTGGGTTAAGTGTTTTGCTCCGGAACCCAGAGTGGCAGTCTGTGGGAGTGGGGCTTGAACTCAGAACCTCTGGAACCCAAGGGCGTTGCCCTAGACACTAGGCCGCCACTCCCCCTTCTGGACCTGAGGTGGTCCTCCACAGAGACGGGGTTCAGATGAAGGCCCAGCAGGGAGGAGCTGAAAAGTCCAAAATCAGGTTTGCAGGAAGGATCATTAGAGCTGCGCCTCCCACAGTCCAGGACCTGTCCGGGTCAAAGGTCAGGGACAGCTCTGCAGACCCCACGCGTACTGCTGCTGTTGATAGGATGTGGAAACCAGCAGCAACCTTACACCTAATCAGGCTGCAGCTCTAATGGGATCTCTGCTCCCAGCCGTGGTGTTGCCATGGAGACATTGTTTCTACTGGTCTGTGGTTTAATCCTGATGGATTTACTGGCTAAAACCTGGACATGATGACCGACAGAAGGACGATCCCTCTCCGTTTGTTAAAGGAATCTGTTTTTTCTGTCAGATATCGGATCCTGAACCCGTCTGCCGTCCCAGAGGACTCCTATATGGACAGCAGGAGGGCTACAGAAAAGCTACTGGGCTCTATGGACATCGATCACACCCAGTACAAGTTTGGACAAACAAAGGTACGATGATCTTGCTGGATTCTGACGGATCAAATGTTAAATGACACGGCCTTGACTGCCTGTTCTTCAGGTTTTCTTTAAGGCTGGTTTGTTGGGACAGCTGGAGGACATGAGGGACAGCCGTCTGTCCCACATCATCACCGCTGTCCAGGCCCTGTGCCGAGGGAAGCTAATGAGGTCGGAGCTGCAGGAGCTGAGGATGAAAAGGTCAATATGGCCGCCATCGAGCTTGGTCTCCACATGCTTCCTGATCCTGTTGGTCGTTAAGCGAACTCCTCTGCTGAGAGCATTCAGGTTCTGCAGCGCCGGTTGGTCACTGGTTTTTTAATGGTGTGTTTGGTTTGTGCTTCTCCTGTCAGGGATGCTTCCATGGTCCTCCAGTTCAACATCAGGGCCTTCTTCTCTGTGCGGACTTGGCCCTGGATGATGCTGTTCTATAAGCTCCGCCCACTGCTGAAGAGTGCCCAGGTGGAGAAGGAACTGGCCGCTCTGAAAGAGGACTTTGCTAAGCTGAAGGAGGCATTTGAAAGGTCAGCTGACCGTCCCCCATTGGATGGGAACCTGTGGAGAATGTTTTCCTGAGGTTCTCTTTGGATCCTCCCCCTCAGGTCGGAGACGAAGCGCCAGGTAGCGGAGCAGCTGCAGGTGGCGATGGTCCAGGAGAAGAGGGATCTGGCTCTGCAGCTTCACGCTGTAAGAAACGCTACAGCATCACTTCCATTTCATTGATCAACTAGAAACAGACAGACAGGTCAAAGGTCATCTCATGCCCATACAGCAGTCTGCTGTGTTTGCCCCTCAGATCCCTGAACGCCTTGCCCCTCCAGCTACTACATTATGGAGATTTTAACTAATCTGCAGAAAAATCTTTGAAAATAAGTCAAAGGATCAACAAAAGTCTGAAGGAAAATATTTAAACAGTCTTTTATAGTCGTTGAAAACTTCAAGGTTTGATGTTCAATTTAGAGGTTTTCAACAATATAACAGTAATGCTACGTTCACACCAGATGCACTTTAAGCAGCATGAGCTGCTTTACATGCGCAGTCAATGGTTGACGCGCATCAAGGCGCAACAAAAGGTCCTGCAGCGCCTCCTGAGCCACGGGGCGCATTTCAAAGGCAGCAGCTGCTGGAGTTGGAAAAATTGACCTTTTGCTGCTGGGATTCCCAGTGACGGCGCGAATGGGGGGGTCTGACACAGAAATAATCTCTGAAGGCAGGATGGTAATCTGGATGAACTGACTGCACAGACCATGTTTTCAGGAGGACTTTCTCACTTCAACATAGATTCTAACTACTTTCTACCCGCTGATCACAGCTAATATAGCAAAGCTGCTCTCTGGCATCGAACTCAGGAGCAGCAGAAGCTTCTGGACTCACTTTACTGGACGTCTGACCTTAATGAGGATCAGAGACGAAGCAGCAGGAGCTTCTTTGTGAATGTAGCATTGTAAAATCTGGATATCCAAATTTTAAGTTTTTTGTCGTCTGCATTTTGAATTCTGATGTTTCTTTATTAATCTTCTGTGCAGTAAACAGTTTTCATTATACACTCCTCATAGAATCATCCAACATCATCTAAAGTATAACTGACCTCTAATGTCTCTTATTATACTCGCTTCTTCACTTCTTGAACCGGATCTCATTCTTTTGTTCTGTTTCAAGCATTATTTGTTAGTTTCCTCAAAAAAAAATAACTTCCTCATATATGGAGGCAAATACATGTTGCTTTCACTTTTAGGATATTAGAGTTTTATTTAAAATCCAAGGAACATTTTGTACAAAAACATCTAAATTGTGAAGCAAATAACTAGTCCTTATGCTGGGGTAGAGGACGTCCCACTTCAATAAACATCCTGAATTATTGTGATTCCAGTCTGAATGCTGATTCCTTAGTTTTACTAAACGTTTTTACGGAGACACATCTAGTTAACTATTGAAGGATTTATAGAATCTATAATTTATGGAAATGTATTGTCTTTAGATACTGCATAGGCTTCTGTAGATTTGATCCTTTTTAAATGATTTTATGTTGTAGACAGTTTCAAGTACATTTTCTGATGTATTTACTTTTAGCAGCTTCCTTTGCTTCCTATAATAGTTGTATTCCATATAGTTTACAGGTAAACATGTTCTGGCCAATGCACCAATGGTGGAAGCTCATCTGTAGAATTCCCTTATGAAAGAAAGAAGGACACTTGAAACATGATTCACATCATTTTATCATCCAGAGGGGGGGAAACATTTATTTAAATTCTGAATTCCTACAGCAGCCTTCAACACTTCATAAGTTCAGCGCTACATCATCAGACATCTCAGTTTCCCCCCAACTCTCATTTCATCTCAGGCTGTTTTATCGTCTCAATATCGCTTTAAAAATGCACAGGAGTATGATGTCGAAAGCTTCCTGGAATTCACGTTTGCTGGTCGAAGCCAGAGGTTCCTCTGGCACTGGAAAAATGTTTATACAGACGTTCTCTGTTTAAGCCAAAACCTGTTACTATATCCTCTAACTGCAAACGAATCGCCATTAGATACCTTATTATTGCTCAGACTCATACTTGACTTTCAGCATGTACTGCTAGGATTATAAGGCCACGAATAAGGATATATAAGGCAGTACAGCTGCTTCTATATTTGGCCAGCCAGAATTCTACACAGGAAATTAGCTATAAAAATAATAAGAAAGAAATGACTGAGCTCTGGAGACAGAGCCTCTTCTCACTGCTACTAATGGGATCCTGAAGCTTTTCCATTCAGTCTGTAGGAAATGGAGAGAGAAGGTTTAAAAGCAAGGCTTCGACTTTATGGGTCACCCTGAATGTTTGGGGTTAGAATCACCCGAACCCAAAACATGATGAAGAAAAGCAGAGGTTCAATTCAATTCAATTCAATTCAGTTTATTTATATAGCGCCAAATTCACAACACATGTCATCTCAAGGCACTTTACAGTTCAACCAGATCAAATTGATACAAAGTTTTCTATCTAAGGAAAACCAGTTGATTGCATTGACTCATTGACTCAAATACAATCCCCCACACTAAGCATGCTTGTAGCGACAGTGGAGAGGAAAAACTCCCTTTTAACAGGAAGAAACCTCCAGCAGAACCAGGCTCAGTGTGAGCGGCCATCTGCCGAGGCCGACTGGGGTTCAAGGAGACAGAAGCAGAGATACAAAAAGCAGCTGTAAAAGGCGGCCCCGTCCAGGAAACACACAGCCAGGCAGACGAGCTCCAAGGCAGCTCCCATGCCAGAGGACGAAGAAAGCACATCCACTCAGTCACGGTCAGAGAAACAGGACCACACTGGAAAACAGGCCGATCTCCAACATCTATAAACAAGGGTGTTGATAGAAGCAGCACAGCTGATGTTTCTTTCCAGGATGACGTCACAGCCAAACAGGAACAGACGAGGCAAAGCTACTCTGAGGAAAAGCAGAGAGAGCAGAAGGTTAGAGATTGAACTAACAGATTCTGCAGAATAGGAGAACAGAGAGAGAATGAAGCAGAATGATGAAATGGGGGTCCCTATGTCCTCCAGAAGTCTAAGCCTATAGCAGCATAACTATAGAGATAGCTCAGGATAACCTGAGCCACTCTAACTATAAGCTTTATCAAAAAGGAAAGTTTTAAGCCTAGCCTTAAAAGTAGACAGGGTGTCTGCCTCACGGACTAAAACTGGTAGTTGGTTCCACAGGAGAGGAGCCTGATAACTAAAAGATCTGCCTCCCATTCTACTTTTAGAAATTCTAGGAACCACTAGTAAACCTGCAGATTGAGAGCGAAGTGCTCTGTTAGGAACATAAGGAACAATCAGATCTCTGATATAAGATGGAGCTTGGCCATTTAAGGCTTTATATGTGAGAAGGAGGATTTTAAATTCTATTCTTGATTTAACAGGAAGCCAATGAAGAGAAGCCAGGATAGGCGAGATATGATCTCTCTTTTTAATTTTCATTAGAACTCTGGCTGCAGCATTTTGGATCAGCTGAAGGCTTTTAACTACAGTTTGTGGACTTCCTGATAGTAAAGAATTACAATAGTCCAGCCTTGAAGTAACAAATGCATGGACTAGTTTCTCAGCATCACCCCTGGACAGGATATTTCTAATTTTTGCAATGTTCCTCAGATGAAAGAAGGAAATTCTAGAAACCTCCTTGATATGGGACCTAAATGACAGGTCCTGATCAAAAACAACACCAAGATTTTTTACTTTATTATCTGAAATCAGTTTAATCCCATCCAAATGAAGTGACTGGCTAATCAGTTTCTTTTTCAGAGACTCTGGTCCAAAGACTATAACTTCTGTTTTGTCTGCATTCAGAAGCAGAAAGTTAAGAGTCATCCAGGTTTTTATGTCTTCAAGACATGCCTGTAATCTATGTAATGGGTTAGCTTCATCTGGATTTATAGACAGATATAGCTGGGTATCATCAGCATAACAGTGGAAATTAATCCCATGCTGTCTAATAATTCTACCAATTGGGAGCATGTATAAAGTAAAGAGAATTGGTCCTAGCACTGATCCCTGTGGTACTCCACAGGTAACCTTTGAGCGTGTTGAAGATCTATCATTAACATGAACAAACTGAATTCGATCAGATAGATAAGATTTAAACCAGTCTAGTGCTGTTCCTTTAATTCCAACAAAATATTCAAGTCTTTCTAAAAGAATATTATGGTCAACTGTATCAAATGCAGCACTAAGATCCAACAGGACGAGCACAGATACAAGTCCATTATCTGAGGCCATGAGAATATCATTAGTGACTTTCACCAGAGCTGTTTCAGTGCTATGATGAGCTCTAAAGCCAGACTGAAACTCTTCAAAAAGTTCATTATGGTGGAAGTGATCGCAAACTTGTTTGGCAACTACTTTCTCAAGAATTTTGGATAAGAAAGGAAGATTGGATATAGGTCTATAATTGACCAAGTCATCTGGGTCAAGAGACGGTTTCTTAAGCAGAGGTTTAATTACAGCAACCTTAAAAGCTTTAGGTACATATCCCTGTAACAGAGATAGATTAATCACATCTAAAATGGAGGAGGAGATCAAAGGGAATACCTCCTTAAATAACCTGGTTGGAACTGGATCTAACATACAAGTTGAAGGCTTAGATGAAGACAATAATTTTGCTAATTCAGAGAGTTCAACTGGATCAAAGCAGTCTAAACCCAGTTCAGATTCCATGACTACCTCAGGTACAATCGCGGATAGAGGAGTGCTTATGATCTTATTTTTAATAAGATCAATCTTATTTATAAAGAATCCCATAAAGTCATTGCTGCTAAGAGCAGGTGGAATGGACGGTTCAACAGAGCTATGGCTCTGGGTGAGTTTGGCAACTGTATTAAAAAGAAATCTAGGATTATTCTTATTCTCCTCTATTAATGAGGAGAAGTATGCTGCTCTTGCTTTACAAAGGGTCCTCTTATACAGCAGTAAACCATTTTTCCAGACTAGGAAGGACTCTCGCAGGCCTGTGGAGCGATATTTTCTCTCCAGTTTCCTAGCATTTTGCTTCAAAGTACGCAGCTCTGCATTAAACCAAGGAGCAAGCTTTCTATTTTTAACGGTTTTCATTTTCAAAGGAGCTGCGTTGTCTAAGGCAATACGCAGAGAACTAGCAACCCCATCAACAAAATCATCAACCTGTGAAGGGGAATAAGCTAAACTTTTGCCGGTTCAGATATGAACCCAGCCATTGAAAAATATTCCCTCCCTCAAGGATTAGAAACTGAAACCATGTTTTGAAAATGTGACCCACTGAAGAAACCAATCAGATAAAACATGTATGACAGCATGAAGTAGGCGAATGAAGCAGCTGGGAAAACTGGAACTGCTGTTGGACTGAGATGATCTGCTTTAAGGCAGAAGATCCTGCAGGAAGATGTCCTGCAGACGGCCATGGGGTGGTCAGGTGTAGACTGACCTTCAGTTCACTCCTGTTATCTTTGTCAGATCTTCATGAACCGTCTTATTCCAAATCATTGCTCGTATTCTTACTGCAGATGGACGTCATGCTAACGCTTGGTTCTTTGCTCCGGTTCTGAGCGGTGATGCTGTGGGCTGGACTGCTGATGCAGACCGGGGAGAGTTTATTTTCACAGAGCACAGGTCGATCCTCTGACCTTCTGGAAATGAAGCTGCTGCACTGAGGCAGAACCTTTAACCCCTTCAGGGTAGCAGGAGACCTGCTGGTCGGAAGAACATCAGCTGTTATGGACATTAGTGGACGTATCTTTCTATTCCATCCAGGAGCAGGACAACCTGATGGACGCAGAGGAGCGCTGCAACCAGCTCATCCAATCTAAAGTCTCCCTGGAGTCAAAGCTGAAGGAGATGCAGGAGCGTTTGGAGGATGAGGAGGAGGTGAGTGCCAGCCTGACATCCAGGAAGCGTCAGCTGGAGGAGGAGGTGCTGATGCTGAAGAGAGACGTGGACGACCTGGAAATGACTCTAGCCAAGGTGGAGAAGGAGCGACACAGTGTAGAGAACAAGGTGTGGGACGACAGAGACAGCTTTACTCGCTGCACACCCCCCCCCCGGCTGAAAAACTCCTCCTCTCTTCGCAGGTCAAGAACTTAACCAATGAGATGCGAGTCCTGGATGAATCGGTGGCGTCACTGAGCAGAGAAAAAGCTGCCCTCCTGGAGGCTCACCAGCAGGTCCTGATTGACCTTCAGGCTCAGGAGGACAAGGTCAACATCCTGGCGAAGGTTAAAGCGCGGCTGGAGCAGCAGGTGGAAAACGTAAGAAAAGTTTTAGTCTAGTCTGATCTCACTGACGAGCTCATCAACGCCGTCGCTGTCATCCATTTACTGCCAGGTAGGAAATGATCCACCCTGCTTCCTTCTGGTAGGTGGAAACGTCTCTAGAGCAGGAGAAGAAGGCCCGAGCTGACCTGGAGCGTACCAAGAGGAAACTGGAGGGGGACTGGAAGCTCTCCATGGACTCAGTGAAGGACTTGGAGAAGCAGAGGGAAGACATGGAGGACAGATTGAAGAAGTAAGACAAACTCTTTTCTTCCTGTGAAGATAAACATTACAGGAAATGGGTCCAACTTTAATATCTATGATTGGGATTTTATTCTTTCACAGAAAAGACTTTGAGTTGGGTCAGGTCCATGAAAAGCTGGAGGATGAGCAAACTTTGAATGTTCAGCTTCAAAAAAGAATCAAAGAGCTTCAGGTGGGTCAGAGAAGCAGACATCTCCTGATCTTTCCCTGAAAGACATGGCTTCACTCAGGTCTGCGCTTTCCTGCAGACCCGCATTGAGGAGCTGGAGGAAACCCTGGAGGCGGAGCGGGCGTGGCGCGTCAAGGCGGAACGCCAGAGGAACGACGTGGCAAAAGAGCTGGAGGAGCTGGGAGAGACGCTGGAGGAGGCAGGAGGAGCTTCAGCGGCTCAGATCGCCCTCAACAGGTAGAGAATGAAACAATTAAAAATAGGAAAAAGATCCAGGAGGAGATTTGATTCACAGAACTAAACTGGAGGATTTGTGTTTTATTGCTCTTTTTATCTATATTTTCTTGGCGGCTTTGGGCTGGGATAGATGGGCAGAGCGTCGGGGGTTCTGATTCACAGCCGTCTGTCTGTCCGTGTGAAACAGGAAGCGGGAGGCAGACTTCCAAAAGATGCGGCGGGACCTGGAAGAGGCGGGGCTTCACCACGAGGCGATAGCAGCCGGTCTCAGGAAGAAGCACTCGGACACGGTGGCAGAGCTCAGCGAGCAGATAGACGCTCTGCAGCGAGTCAAACAAAGACTGGAGAAGGAAAAGACAGAGATGCGCCTGGAGGCCGATGACCTGGCGGCTAACGTGGAGCAGCTAAGCCGAGCGAAGGTGAAACTGCAGCACAAACGCTTTAGCAGAATAAAAAAACCAACAAAGCTTCTGTCTGAACAGGAATGCTGATGAAAAATGCTGGAGCTCCTTTACTGACACCTCTGTACCTTAGGTGCACAAAGCAGCAGTACTGCAGATCCTCCCTCCCAGCTGCTGGTTGACTTTTTCATCTCAAAGATTTCTTGTAAATGCTCCAAGTTTATCAGATCAAGGACAGTTTTTCTCCTGCTACCTTTATTTGCAAGGGTTGTAATCTGTTCAATATTAGTTTTTATCCAGCAGCACATTTATCTGCACAGATGGTGATGATCGTTAACCCAGCATTTTCACGCTTCTTAGCACAGATTTGCTGGTTTTCCTTAAACCTGCTGCTGTTTTTCCTTTCCTGTTATTTGGTCAGGGTCCCTATCAGCAGTTTTATTCATTGTTACACCTGAGCTTCCCCAGCGCAGGATTCTAACGTCCTCTCTGGTGTTCAGGGGGCTCTGGAGAAGATGTGCAGAGTGTATGAAGACCAGCTGAATGAAAGCAGGAGCAGAGCTGATGAGCTGCAGAGGCAACTGGCTGAAGTTTCTGCTCAGAAAGCTCGAGCTCTAACAGAAGCCGGTAAACAGCTTTTCTCTTTATTTCCATTCATGTAATTAACTCTCTATGACACTAAATGATGATCTATCAAAGCCTGAAATGGTTCAGATCCTAACCCAGCTTTGAGGAGGACAGGCTGCTGCTCCTCTAGGAATATCTAACAGCTGCTGCCAATCCAGATGTTTCCCTGCAGGAAGAAAAGTCCTGGACTGGATTCAGGAATTATGGGAAGCAAGCAGAGACCAATAAAGGCAGGAGAGGTGCTATGTCTAGATATGCTATGACATCATCCAGAAAGACCTGGACCACTGAGAGCAGATGTACATCAGATGTAGAGCAGTCTTTAAGCGTAGTATGGCTGAAGGGTTAGGGTTTTTATTATTTTATATGCGTGAATATGGATAAATGTTTGATCAGTGTTTGTAAAATGAAATGTGCCCTAATCAGCGTTGGTCATGTGGTGAAAACAGCTCAGTGTCATCTGCATAACGGTGAAGCAGCAGCATGGAGCAACCCACGCCGTCGTGGTTAACGCCAGACGATGGTTGTCATGGCAACAGAACGACTTTTCAGCTCAGACTAATCTGGACGAGAATAAAACTTTTCCAGCGTTACTGTTCTAATATGCTTTGCTGTTGAGTGCAGCTGAGTGCAGCCGGCGTCTAGAGGAACGGGAGGCTCTGATTGGTCAGCTGCAGCGCTGCAAGGCTAACCTTAGTCAGGATACGGAGAACCTGAAGAAGCAAATGGAGGAAGACTGCAAGGTAACACTGAAGCAATCCCCATTGTTCCACCATTAAAAGCAACCAATGAGCAATCTTTGACTCCTAACCGCTGAATGATCACAGTCATGCTTTGTGTTTCTGCCGAAGGCTCGCGTGGCTCTCGCTCACGCCGTGCAAGCGTCCCGCCATGACTGCAGTCTGCTGACGGGGCAGCTGGAGGATGAGCAGGAGGCCAAAGCTGAACTGCAGAAGGCCTTATCTAAAGCCAACAGTCAGGTGGTGGAGTGGAGAACCAAATATGAGACCCAAGCTGTGCTGAAGATAGAGGAGCTGGAGGAAGCAAAGTGAGAGGACACATGCAGACACTGTTACTCTGGCCCAACCTGAAAGCAATTCACTGAATGTTCTCAATTTAAGCTAAACGTGAAGAATGTTTTATCTCAAGAGTTAAAATAAGGATGAAAATGAATCAATCAATCATCAACCCGCCCTCCAGCGGGGAATTACCTTGTTCTCTGGATAAGACTGAACTGTCAAACCAGGCTAGGGACTCGTATGGATAATCATCCTCCATCAGATTATCATGGTCCAAACCAGAGTTCCCAGTGCCGCGCTGCAGCCGATGGAGATCCACAGCCCGCTTCAGTAACCAATGTTTTAAATAAACGCTTTAAATTATCCCACTGACTGTCTCGCCTGAATACTGGGTCCTACATTCTGAGCTTATGACAGTTCCTATCCATGGCGTTTCCTATCCATGGCGTTTCCTATCCAGGGCGTTTCCTATCCAGGGTTTTTCCTATCCAGGGCGTTTCCTATCCAGGGTGTTTCCTATCCAGGGTGTTTCCTATCCAGGGCGTTTCCTATCCAGGGCGTTTCCTATCCAGGGCGTTTCCTATCCAGGGTGTTTCCTATCCAGGGTGTTTCCTATCCAGGGCGTTTCCTATCCAGGGCGTTTCCTATCCAGGGCGTTTCCTATCTGCAGCGTTTCCTATCCATGGCGTTTCCTATCCAGAGCGTTTCCTATCCAGAGCGTTTCCTATCCGGGGCGTTTCCTATCCGGGGCGTTTCCTATCCAGAGCGTTTCCTATCCGGGGCGTTTCCTATCCGGGGCGTTTCCTATCCGGGGCGTTTCCTATCCGGGGCGTTTCCTATCCGGGGCGTTTCCTATCCGGGGCGTTTCCTATCCGGGGCGTTTCCTATCCGGGGCGTTTCCTATCCGGGGCGTTTCCTATCCGGGGCGTTTCCTATCCGGGGCGTTTCCTATCCAGGGCGTTTCCTATCCAGAGTGTTTCCTATCCAGAGCGTTTCCTATCCAGGGCGTTTCCTATCCAGGGCGTTTCCTATCCAGGGCGTTTCTTTTCAGGGATGTTACCTAAACAGGGCGTTTCCTATCCAGGGCGTTTCCTATCCGGGGCGTTTCCTATCCAGGGCGTTTCTTTTCAGGGATGTTACCTTTACAGGCTTTTGTTATTCAGGTTTTAGAGTTGTACTCTATCCAGGCTGTTGCCTACAGACAAGCTGCCATTCCATTGCAGACATAGACGGCCATAAATTCACAAACTCAAACCTAAGAACAGACCAGACTTTGTTTTTTCTTGAACTACCTGGACTGAAACGTATGCATGAACGGAGAGAACATTTCAGCTAAAGATAGAGATAAAGATCTGTCCCCAGAACCCTCTGGCTAATATGCTAACTTTCTAACAAGTCTGAAGCCTCCTACTGATAAATTTTAAATGATTTTAATGTTTCCAGGAAGAAGTTAGTTGTGAAACTGCAGACTGCTGAAGAAGCGGTGGAGGCCGCTCAGGCTAAATGTTCGTCTCTTGAGAAAACCAAGCAGCGTCTCCAGGCTGACAACGATGACCTCACAGCTCAACTGGAGCGCTCCACTGCTGCAAACCTGGCTCTGGACAAGAAGCAGCGGACCTTTGACAAGGTTAGTCCAGATGTCCGACAGTCTCTGTGACCTGCAGAGGTGGACATGAAGATCAGAGGATCTGTGATTTCTGATGCAGCTGCTGAGTGACTGGAAGATGAAGTTTGAGGAAAGCCAGATGGAGCTGGAGACGTCTCAGAGAGACTCTCGCAGTCTGAGCACAGAGCTCTTCAAACTAAAGAGCAGCTATGAAGAAGCTCTGGACCATCTGGAGACGGTTAAACGAGAAAATAAAAACCTGCAAGGTATCTGCATGACTCTGGCTTTTATGCATCTGGTCTTGTCATAAAAGGACATCAGACACCAAGTTGGGCTCCTGCAGTTCAACCATCATATGGAGATTATCAGTAAATGTTTCTCTCTTAGAAAGATATTGAGTGAAAACAGAATTCCTTCAGGACCAAGAATCAAATTATATCCCAACTGTTTATAATGATTTAACGGGACACCATGTGACTGTCATACGTTGTCCTGTGAACACGACCAACTGTCTTTGGACAACAGATGAAAGGATGAATCAACCTTAAAACATAGTCGAACAGAAAACTCTACACCTAAAGGGTAGCCAGATTCTTTTCCATTGGTCCTTGATTTTCCGTTATTCCATCATGTTCTACTCTCCCATATGAGTTTAGTGTCATTTGGAGCCGTTCTGAAGATATTCCGTTAGGTTATATCCAGTAACGTCTTCCTATGGGCAACGACTTGAAGGCACAAACTAAACTGTTCATCATTTATTCTTTATGGTACGCCAGCATTCAGAACATGGAGGCCAATCACTGCCCCCCAGACATCCGCCGTTAGATTTTTAGATCTTTTAAAAACAAAGCGGCGTGTGTATGACATCATCCGTGCGGTGGACTGTAGTAGTGACAGGCAGGCCGGGCCACAGGCGGCTACGCTCTACCCCTTCTATTCATTCTAACTCATCTGAATCGTTCATCTGGAGAGCGAGATCATCTGTGGTAGCAGCACTGGGCATCTTCCAGGCATGAGAGGAAAACTAGCAGCAGTTCAGCGGACAGGATGAATGAATGCTAGCCGGCGCACGCGGATGATGTCATACACACGCTGCTTTGTTTTTAGTAGAACATGATGGAATAACGGGAAATCAAGGAAACAATGGGAAAAAAATGAAATTCCCCTTCAATCAAAACATAACAACCTCCTCGAGATCAAAGGTTTGAGTTAAACTCTGGACTAAACAAGTTAAACTGAACTAAACTTCTATGAACACAAAGTAAGAAGGAATGACGATGGCTGGAAAACATATTCAATAAAAAGAGGCAATGAAATCGTAGTTCAGCTGAATTTGGAATGTGGTCAAATAATGTCAGAAACATTATTTGGTTAAATCAATTTATTAAATCAGAAATCACTAAACTTTTAGACATTTGATTCTTCTGTGGTTTAAGGTAAGAACTGAGCTCCTTTAGCGAAGTTTGACATAAAGCTAACCAAGCTAGCAGCTAGCAGACATTCTTGGTTATATTTTAGTAATCGGATTTAAGGAGCACGTCAGGCGTTGATCTTATGTCAGAATTTAAAGCGGCCAGGGTTAACCCTAACCCTGGCCGCCACAGTTGGGCTAACGTTAGCCCTGGCCGCCACAGTTGGGCTAACGTTAGCCCTGGCTGCATTTAGCCTCAGAGCTCCACTGGTTGCCACGGTCCTCTCAACATCAGATGTTTTTTAAAATTATTCATTAAATCATAAATGTTCCATATAGTGAAACTTAATGTTCTAGCCTCAAATGATCTTAAAACTTTAGAACTTTGAACTTAATCCTCTGATCTCTCTGTGAGCGCTAACCTGGAAGCTGCTGCTGCCGCAGTGCATGCTGGGACAGCTGTTAGTCTGGAGAACAGACACATCTGCTCTGATGCATGCTGGATAAAGAGGGAGGGGCCAGAACAGCATCCTGGGACTTTGTCCGTTCCCTGTCTGCTGTTCTAGTGAACTGGACCAGCGCTAGGCTGATGGTGTTTCACAGGAACGCACAAGTACACAGAATGAGATACGGTCTATCAGTAGAACCTTTTGTCCCAAACAACGTTGGGAGACAGGATTGCATGTCCCTGTGGAAGTGTCTCCTGAAGCTTCTAGAATTTGCAAAAAGCAGCATAGACGTCGGTCCCCCGTGTCCTTGATGAAAACCATGTTTTAAGGCATAACAATGTCCATTACCGAACATGTTTATAATGAACACCAGCAGACAGCTCTGTTATGGTGTGAACTTTTCCAGATGAAATCCTTGAGCTAACGGACCAGATTAGTGAGGAAGGAAAGACCATTCATGAGCTGGAGAGGATGAAGAAGGTTCTGGATGTGGAGAAAAGCAGCATCCGAGCAGCTCTGGAAGAGGCTGAGGTAAGGCTTCCCTTGAACCTGGATACCTGTGAACGTTCCTGACCTGGTAACCTTCCACCTCTCCACCAATCAGGGCACACTGGAGCACGAGGAGGGCAAGAACCTGAGATTCCAGATGGAGCTGCAGCGGATTCGAAATGAGATAGACCAGAAGATTGCCGAGAAAGATGAAGAGCTTGATACCCTCAGGTACCAAACAAGATGGAAGCTTTGATTGCAAACTGCTGACGTCACAGATTACATAGTGGAGATATAGGATGGTTCTGGTCAAAGCAACCGGGAAAGGGAGAGAGAGCAAACAACAAAACGTCATCAGCCTAAAATGATCAGTCTGTGAAAACTGCAAACCAGCTGGAGAAAACAGTGAATAACATCCACAGATTTGCTCTGCCCCCCAGGAGGAACCATCAGCGATCTCTGGAGGGCATGCAGACCAGTTTGGAGGCAGAAAGCCGCGCTCGCATGGAAGCCGTCCGTCTGAAGAAAAAGATGGAATCAGACCTGAATGAGATGGAGGTCCAGTTAGCACACGCTAACCGGCAGTCAGCTGAGAGCCAGAAGATCATCAGACACCTGCAGACCCAGGTAACCTCACCTGACCAGCTCACCTGCAGCTACGGCCGTGAAAAATGATGGAGAGGCTCCAGCTGATTCCCTCCGTCTCTGCTAACTGCCAACAAGATGTCTTAACTTCTGCCGCAGGTGAAGGAGCAGCAGGTGGAGCTGGAGGACAAAGTCCAGGTGGCCAACCAGCTGCAGGAGCAGGTCATTGTGTTGGAGCGCAGCTGTGCACTGATGACAGCAGAGGAGGCGGAGCTAAGAGGCGTCCTGGAACAGACAGACCGCGCCCGAAAGATGGTTGAAAGTGATCTGGTTGAGGCGTCCGAGAGAGTAAACCACCTCACGGTGCAGGTAGGTCTACAGAGGGAAGGAGACGCCATGACAGGAGGAGTTCTGACCTGAGGTTCTCCGTGTTCCAGAACGCGGCTCTGCTGAACCAGAAGAGGAAGCTGGAGACGGACCTGTCCCTGCTGACAGGACAGGTGGACGAGGCCATGCAGGAGAGCCGCAGCGCTGAGGAGAAAGCCAAGAAGGCCATCACTGACGTCAGTCCTCACTCCTCAGCCAGTTTAGAGACCACCCAACATCAAACATCATGGCTGCCTCCCTGTTGTCTCACCAGGCGGCTGTGATGGCCGAGGAGCTGAAGAAGGAGCAGGACAGCAGCAATGTTCTGGAGAGGATGAAGAGGAGCATGGAGTCCACAGTGAAAGGTGCACCTGGGGTGCCACTCCTTATTTGGTCATGCTGGTTCTGATTGGATGCTGAAGTTTCAAAGGCTGACCTTTAGGGCGGGACTAACAGATCAGTGGCAGCCATCTTAGTATTAGTCTAGTTTTAATCAGCAATTCATAAAATATTTAAGTTTAAAATTTGGAAAAGGAACCGATTCCTTCCCAGACTGGAAGCTGCTGCCCTGCTGTTGGCTTTGGTCTGTTTGAGCGCAGATCTCTGAGCTCTCCTCTGAGTCCAGATGTTCTCAGCCTCGTGGAGACCAGGACGACATTTGGAGCTCCGCTAGCTCCGCTAGCTGACTGAAGCTCCGCTAGCTGACTGAAGCTCCGCTAACTGACTGAAGCTCCGCTAGCTAACTGAAGCTCTGCTAGCTCTGCTAGCTGACTGGAGCTCCGCTAACTGACTGAAGCTCCGCTAGCTGACTGAAGCTCTGCTAGCTCTGCTAGCTGACTGGAGCTCCGCTAACTGACTGAAGCTCCGCTAGCTAACTGAAGCTCCGCTAGCTCCACTAGCTGACTGAAGCTCCGCTAGCTGACTGAAGCTCTGCTAGCTGACTGAAGCTCTGCTAGCTTTGCTAGCTGACTGGAGCTCCGCTAACTGACTGAAGCTCCGCTAGCTCCACTAGCTGACTGAAGCTCCGCTAGCTGACTGAAGCTCTGCTAGCTTTGCTAGCTGACTGGAGCTCCGCTAACTGACTGAAGCTCCGCTAGCTAACTGAAGCTCCGCTAGCTCCACTAGCTGACTGAAGCTCCGCTAGCTGACTGAAGCTCTGCTAGCTTTGCTAGCTGACTGGAGCTCCGCTAACTGACTGAAGCTCTGCTAGCTAACTGAAGCTCTGCTAGCCCCACTAGCTAACTGAAGCTCTGCTAGCTCTGCTAGCTGAATGGAGCTTCACTTTGATTTTACCTGGAGTTAAAGTTGAACTCAGTTTAAAAGCAGAGAGTCGCCCTTTAAATAACCCGTTTCTCTGGAGGACGAAACTTTTCCTCAGAACCACTGAAAGTCTTTCTGAGTTTGCTGAACCGCCTGATTAAAAACTGCAGTTTGAAATAAAGTTAAAGTCAAGCCTTCAACGTTACATACTGGATTTATATATGAATAGATTTGGGTCAGATTGGGATTTAAAGTCTGTTTTATTGAAGCTAACTGGATAAAACATCGTCAGGCTGAATCTGCTGGATTCAGATCCAAAGAAAGCAAACAGATGTTATTTTATTCTGTTGCTTCGCTGCTCGATTAGTCGGTTGGAACTTGAACGACTGGGATTTCAGCTCCTCCACTGACTCGTTCTGTTGGTCCGACAGACCTGCAGCTGAAACTGGACGAGGCGGAGCAGACGGCCCAGAAGGGAGGAAAGAAGCAGCTTCATAAACTGGAGACCAGGGTAAGGAAAAACTGATGTTAGGCTGAAGGAACCCTGGATCAAACCAGAGAGAGGTCTGTAGACTGCTGGTCTGAGGTCTGCGCTGCTGTTTCCAGGTCCGCCAGCTTCAGCTGGAACTGCTGGAGGAGAAAAAGAGGAGCGAGGAGTATGAGAAGGAAGTCCGCCGCTATGAGAGGAGAGTCAAAGAGCTGATGTACCAGGTCCGACCCGCCTGCCTCTGCACCTGATCTCCTGCTGGTTCTGTGCTTGATTGCTTCTGTCTCCTGCAGTCGGAGGAGGACAGGAAGACCTTAGTGAGGATGCAGGAGCTGATCGAGAAGCTTCAGAGCAAAGCCAAGAGCTACAAGAGACAAGCTGAGAACGCTGTAAGTCTTTAGAACCCTCTGGGAACCAGATCCAGGTCCAAAGGTGGTTCAGCTCAAACTATTTAAAACATCGTTTGATGAAGGAAAGAATTCAACCTGCAGCTCATTGATTATGTGAAAGATTCTGGAAACCGGATCAGAACCTTCTGCAGCAGCCGGGGTCTTTAACCTTCCAGGTGTTTCTCTATCTGTCCACCAGGAGGAGCAGGTGAGCAGCACCACCGTGCGCTTCAGAAAGATCCAACATGAGCTGGACGACGCCGAGGAGAGAGCCGACATCGCCGAGACGACCGTCAACAAGCTGCGGATCCGAACCCGCGAACCCGCTGTGGCTCTGCTCAGCCCCACTCAGACGGGCCTCTAGGCCCACAGCACTGCTGCCTCCTTCATCCTCATCATCCTCAGTCCTGATCCCTCCGGCTGAAGGATGATGATCAATGTTTGCTTTGCTCTGTACTTCGGTATTTCCTGGTTTCACTAATAAACGATTGATTGCTGCAGCTTCAGTGGTTCTGGTGAAAACACGAGAAACACGCTCTGATCAGTTTGGCATTCAACACTTTATTCACAGACTAAAGTCCACAGGTTAGTGCGGGGCGGGTCCTTCTGGGTCCAGGTCCAGAACTGGACCAGTTCAGCAGGAACACAGCAGAACCTTTAATAATAGGAAACGAAAGGAAGGAGGGAGGACCCGATTCACACAGGAAGGAAGGGAGGGAGGAAGGAGGGAGGAATGAAGGACCCGATTCACACAGGAAGGAAGGAAGGAGGAAGGAAGGAGGGAGGGAGGGAGGAAGGAGGGAGGAATGAAGGACCCGATTCACACAGGAAGGAAGGAAGGGAGGGAGGGATGAGGGAGGGAGGGAGGAAGGAGGGAGGATCCGATTCACACAGGAAGGAAGGGAGGGAGGGAGGAAGGAAGGAGGATCCGATTCACACAGGAAGGAAGGAAGGAAGGGAGGGAGGGAGGGAGGAAGACCCGATTCACACAGGAAGGAAGGAAGGAAGGAAGGAAGGAAGGAAGGAAGGAAGGAAGGAAGGAAGGAAGGAAGGAAGGAAGGAAGGAAGGAAGGAAGGAAGGGGGGGAGGGAGGGAGGAAGGAGACAGGAAGGAGGGAGGACCTGATTCACACAGGAAGGAAGGAAGGAAGGAAGGAAGGAAGGAAGACCTGATTCACACAGGAAGGAAGGAAGGAAGGAAGGAAGGGAGGGAGGGAGGAAGGAGGGAGGAAGGAGACAGGAAGGAGGGAGGAAGGAGGGAGGGAGGACCCGATTCACACAGGAAGGAAGGGAGGGAGGGAGGGAGGGAGGGAGGGAGGGAGGGAGGGAGGGAGGGAGGGAGGGAGGGAGGACCCGATTCACACAGGAAGGAAGGAAGGAAAGGGAGGGAGGGAGGGAGGGAGGGAGGGAGGGAGGGAGGACCCGATTCACACAGGAAGGAAGGAAGGAAGGAAGGAAAGGGAGGGAGGGAGGGAGGGAGGGAGGGAGGGAGGGAGGGAGGAAGGAAGACCCAATTCACACAGGAAGGAAGGAAGGAAGGGAGGGAGGGAGGGAGGGAGGGAGGGAGGAAGGAAGGAGGGAGGACCCGATTCACACAGGAAGGAAGGAAGGAAGGAAGGAAGGAGGGAGGACCCAATTCACGAAGGAAGGAAGGAAGGAAGGAAGGAAGGAAGGAAGGAAGGAAGACCTGATTCACACAGGAAGGAAGGAAGGAAGGAAGGGAGGGAGGGAGGAAGGAGGGAGGAAGGAGACAGGAAGGAGGGAGGGAGGGAGGGAGGGAGGACCCGATTCACACAGGAAGGAAGGAAGGAAGGAAGGAAGGAAGGAAGGAAGGAAGACCTGATTCACACAGGAAGGAAGGAAGGAAGGAAGGGAGGGAGGGAGGAAGGAGGGAGGAAGGAGACAGGAAGGAGGGAGGAAGGAGGGAGGGAGGACCCGATTCACACAGGAAGGAAGGGAGGGAGGGAGGGAGGGAGGGAGGGAGGGAGGACCCGATTCACACAGGAAGGAAGGAAGGAAAGGGAGGGAGGGAGGGAGGGAGGGAGGGAGGGAGGACCCGATTCACACAGGAAGGAAGGAAGGAAAGGGAGGGAGGGAGGGAGGGAGGGAGGGAGGAAGGAAGACCCAATTCACACAGGAAGGAAGGAAGGAAGGGAGGGAGGGATGAGGGAGGGAGGGAGGAAGGAGGGAGGATCCGATTCACACAGGAAGGAAGGAAGGGAGGGAGGGAGGGAGGGAGGAAGACCCGATTCACACAGGAAGGAAGGAAGGAAGGAAGGAAGGAAGGAAGGAAGGAAGGAAGGAAGGAAGGAAGGAAGGAAGGAAGGAAGGAAGGGGGGGAGGGAGGGAGGAAGGAGACAGGAAGGAGGGAGGACCTGATTCACACAGGAAGGAAGGAAGGAAGGAAGGAAGGAAGGAAGACCTGATTCACACAGGAAGGAAGGAAGGAAGGAAGGAAGGGAGGGAGGGAGGAAGGAGGGAGGAAGGAGACAGGAAGGAGGGAGGAAGGAGGGAGGGAGGACCCGATTCACACAGGAAGGAAGGGAGGGAGGGAGGGAGGGAGGGAGGGAGGGAGGGAGGACCCGATTCACACAGGAAGGAAGGAAGGAAAGGGAGGGAGGGAGGGAGGGAGGGAGGAAGGAAGACCCAATTCACACAGGAAGGAAGGAAGGAAGGGAGGGAGGGAGGGAGGGAGGGAGGGAGGAAGGAAGGAGGGAGGACCCGATTCACACAGGAAGGAAGGAAGGAAGGAAGGAAGGAAGGAGGGAGGACCCAATTCACGAAGGAAGGAAGGAAGGAAGGAAGGAAGGAAGGAAGGAAGGAAGGAAGGAGAGAGGACCCGATTCATGAACGAAGGAAGGAAGGAAGGAAGGAAGGAAGGAAGGAAGGAAGGAAGGAAGGAAGGAAGGAAGACCCAATTCACGAAGGAAGGAAGGAAGGAAGGAAGGAAGGAAGGAAGGAAGGAAGGAAGGAAGGAAGGAAGGAAGACCCAATTCACGAAGGAAGGAAGGAAGGAAGGAAGGAAGGAAGGAAGGAAGGAAGGAAGGAAGGAAGGAAGGAAGGAAGGAAGGAGAGAGGACCCGATTCATGAACGAAGGAAGGAAGGAAGGAAGGAAGGAAGGAAGGAAGACCCAATTCACGAAGGAAGGAAGGAAGGAAGGAAGGAAGGAAGGAAGGAAGGAAGGAAGGAAGGAAGGAAGGAAGGAAGGAAGGAAGGAAGGAAGGAAGGAAGGAAGGAGGAGCTATAGGGTGGAGCTGTAGGGTGTGGTTGTTTGTTCTTGGATTATTAGGAATAATTTCAGAATTAGAGGCAGAACTTCCTGTGTGAATCCATGGAAACAGATTTCCTTCCCACCATGGCCGCTTCCATCGGCTTCAGGAGGAGGAAGATGATTGGATGGTAACAATAATCAAAGCAAAGAAGAAATGACATCATCATTAAGTCCGGTTCCTGATTGGGGACTTCCTGTTGTCACTGTCATCCTCTTTGGGTCGGGGAACAGACGTTGGTCGATGACATTGTTAGTATTGGTCACCATGGCAACCAGCAGTAACATCAAAGGAGGAAGTGAGATGACCGCGTTGGTGGTGAGGTCAGAGACCAGCTGGTCCTTCAACGTCTTTACAGACAGTTAGACTACAAACAAACACAGTCATGAAGGAGGGCAGGGGGAGCAGCAGGAGGAGGAGGAGCAGGAGGAGGAACAGGTGCATCAAGCGTTCGCTCCTGGCGCCTCTCCCAGTGATGTCACATGAATTGCAGGAGCTGATTGGCTGATTGCTGGGGTAGGGGCGATGACCACACCTCCCTCCTTCAGAATGCTGCTGTGGGCGGAGCCTGGTCCAGTGTCAGCCAATCAGGAAGCTTATCCCTTCCAGCCGTCCCAGATCGGCCCTCTGGTCACAAACAGAGAGAGAATGTTCAGCGTCAAACATGGCGGCACATCTGTTTGTGTTAAAGATGAGCGAGGCCCATGCAGGCGGAGACATATGGCAATAAACTGAAACCCAAATACGGTCGTTAAAGCAACGGTTGGATGAAACAGAGAAATGTATGGTTAGGAGGTCAAAGGTCATCAGGGAGGACTGAAGGAACAGAGTCTGCTGGTGTTTCTAAGGTTCTGCAGCTGTTTTCTGCTGAACGCAGCTCTGGTTCATCAGAAGTTCCCAAAAGCTCCATCTGACGTAGTTCCTGTTCCTCCGTAAGCAGAGTTAAAATTATGATGGAGGGACCACCCCATTTAAAGCAGAGATTAAACAGTTAACCAAACTAACTTAGTTCATGAAGCCACTCTGACTATTATCAGTAATTATATTACATGAAAAATATATAAACATAAAACAACCTGGTGTTTAGCATTTGCGCCGCCATGTTGCAGCACTCCAAGCGGTGATGGATGCTTCAGCTAATAGTGAATATATAGATAAAACTCTAACCTATAGGAAGGAGAGCTGAGGATCTGATTATTGCTGCTACCCAACAGAACACCTGCTGGGGAGAATATGTAAAGCAGCCGACATTAGAGTCCAGTGAGCTAACGATCCATCAGACAGCCAGCTGCAGCCTGAAGCTCCTTGCACTTTAATTTCAGCGCCTGTAAGCTGAGCTGTACTGACCCACCAACACTACTAAACACTCTACCGACCCACCAACACTCTACTGACCCACCAACACTCTACTGACCCACCAACGCTACTAAACACTCTACTGACCCACCAACACTCTACCGACCCACCAACACTCTACTGACCCACCAACACTCTACTGACCCACCAACGCTACTAAACACTCTACTGACCCACCAACGCTCTACTGACCCTGAACTCTCCTCCGCAGAAACCTCCAGTTTGATTCCTGGAATTCTTCAGAATATTCACCTGAAACGAGAATTTCTCTGTCTAAAGGATGCACCTGAAGGAGAAACCTCCGTGATGTTCACAGTCAACCAGGGTGGGAGTGTAGAACCTTCTGGTTGTCACTAGGGACAGGACAATAAACCATGAAGGAATAAAGGTCAAAGAGACAAAGCTGTGAGGTTCTCCTCTCAGCATATTAAAGACCGGAGGAGGAGTTCTGCTGCCGTTTGTTCTGATGATGCTTTAGGGGGAACCAGGAGTTAAACTACGGTTTCATTCTAAGTTCTTATAAGACATGAGCGTCAGAAAGGCGAGAGGAAAGAGGCGGCGACATGAAGGGCAAACACAGAGGAGAAGATGCAGGAAGACTCACAGCGTTCGGGATGATGAAGGTTTCTTCACTCTGGACCACCTCCTCCGCTCAAACAGCCTGATGCAACAAACACACCCAAAGTTACACACACATTAGGACACACACATACACACACATACACACACATTAACACACACACATACACACACATTAACACACACACATACACACACAATAACACACACACACAGTAGCACACACATTAACACTCACACATACACACACATTAACACACACACACAGTAGCACACACATTAACACACACACATTAACACACACACATACACACACATTAACACACACACACAGTAGCACACACATTAACACACACACATTAACACACACACACAGTAGCACACACATTAACACACACACATTAACACACATACACACACATACACACACATTAACACAGACATTAACACACAGTAACACACATTAACACACACAGTAACACACACATACACACACAATAACACAGACACACATTAACACACACACACAGTAGCAAACACATTAACACACAGTAGTTCACACATTAACACACACATACACACACAATAACACAGACACACATTAACACACACACACAGTAGCAAACACATTAACACACATTAACACACACACATTAACACACACACAGTAGCACACACATTAACACACATTAACACACATTAACACACAGTAGTTCACACATTAACACACACATTAACACACACATACACACACAATAACACAGACACACATTAACACACACACACAGTAGCAAACACATTAACACACAATAACACAGACACACATTAACACACACACAGTAGCAAACACATTAACACACAGTAGTTCACACATTAACACACACATACACACACAATAACACAGACACACATTAACACACACACACAGTAGCAAACACATTAACACACATTAACACACACACATTAACACACACATTAACACACATTAACACACACACATTAACACACACACAGTAGTTCACCCATTAACACACACATTAACACACACACATACACACACAATAACATAGACACACATTAACACACACACACACAGTAACACACACATTAACACACACACACAGTAGTTCACCCATTAACACACACATTAACACACACACATACACACACAATAACATAGACACACATTAACACACACACACACACACAGTAGCAAACACATTAACACACATTAACACACACACACACACACACACACACACATTAACACACACATTAACACACATTAACACACAGACATTAACACACACACATTAACACACACAGTAGCAAACACATTAACACACATTAACACACACAGACATACACACACAATAACATAGACACACATTAACACACACACACAGTAACACACACATTAACACACACACACAGTAGTTCACCCATTAACACACACATTAACACACACACATACACACACAATAACATAGACACACATTAACACACACACACACAGTAGCAAACACATTAACACACATTAACACACACACACATACACACACATTAACACACACATTAACACACATTAACACACACACATTAACACACACGCATTAACACACACAGTAGCACACACATTAACACACATTAACACACACATTAACACACACACACAGTAGTTCACACATTAACACACACACTAACACACACACATACACACACAATAACACAGACACACATTAACACACACACAGTAGCAAACACATTAACACACATTAACACACACACACATACACACACATTAACACACACATACACACATTAACACACATTAACACACATTAACACACATTAACACACACACATTAACACACACAGTAGCACACACGTTAACACACATTAACACACATTAACACACACACATTAACACACACACAGTAGCACACAATAACACATTAACACACATTAACACACACATTAACACACACACAGTAGTTCACACATTAACACACACACAGTAGCACACAATAACACATTAACACACATTAACACACACATTAACACACACACACAGTAGTTCACACATTAACACACACAATAACACAAACACATTAACACACACACACAGTAGCAAACACATTAACCCACATTAACACACACACATACACACACATTAACACACACACATACACACACAATAACACAAACACACATTAACACACAGTAGCACACACATTAATACACATTAACACACACACATACACACACATTAACACACACACACAGTAGTTCACACAGTAACACACACATTAACACACACACACACACACACACACACACACACACACACACACACACACACACACACACACACAACACACACACACACATTAACACACACACACAGTAGCACACACATTAACACACATTAACACACATTAACACACATTAACACACACAGTAACACACACATTAACACACACACAGTAACACACATTAACACACACACACATTAACACACACACACAGTAACACACATTAACACACACACATTAACACACAAACACAGTAACACACATTAACACACACACAGTAACACACATTAACACACACACATTAACACACACACAGTAACACACATTAACACACACATTAACACACATTAACACACATTAACACACATTAACACACACAGTAACACACACATTAACACACACACAGTAACACACATTAACACACACACACATTAACACACACACAGTAACACACACATTAACACACACACAGTAACACACATTAACACACACACATTAACACACATTAACACACACACAGTAACACACATTAACACACACACAGTAACACACATTAACACACACACAGTAACACACATTAACACACACACATTAACACACACACATTAACACACATTAACACACACACAGTAACACACATTAACACACACACATTAACACACACACAGTAACACACATTAACACACACACAGTAACACACATTAACACACACACATTAACACACACACATTAACACACATTAACACACACACAGTAACACACATTAACACACACACATTAACACACACACAGTAACACACATTAACACACACACACATTAACACACACACAGTAACACACATTAACACACACACATTAACACACACACAGTAACACACATTAACACACACACAGTAACACACATTAACACACACACATTAACACACACACAGTAACACACATTAACACACACACAGTAACACACATTAACACACACACAGTAACACACATTAACACACACACATTAACACACACACAGTAACACACATTAACACACACACAGTAACACACATTAACACACACACATTAACACACAGTAACACACATTAACACACATTATTCCCCCTTAATTTACCTGAATGGAATTTATCATTAAATCTACTCTCATCTTTTCAGGAACTCTTAATATTTGTGTCCTGCTATCAGCCAGTTTCCATCCTCTTTTATCACCAAAGGAAAAGGATAACTACTCACTATCTGTTGGAAAAAGACGATTCTCTTGGCGTTTAAAATAACAACACGGAACAGCTCAAAAGGACCTCATTTATTTATTTTACAATTCAGTAAACCACAGCTGCTGATTAAACTGGATGTTAAACAGTGAGATGATTATAGGAGCTGATTTTAACGAGTAATCGATCAGCAGCGCATGACCGTGACCGTGATATCTTCCATTGTTGTTTTGGAAAATAGAGGCCGTTTGTCAATATGCGTTCTTGAGCGTTCTCGTGTCCTCGTGACGTGTCATCAGCCTCAGCTGTTCCAATTGCCGAGATCGCCAGACCGAGAACGCACCAAATCCCCGGATGTGGCTCTCGCCCCGCCCTCTTTGCCCAGCATGTATCAGAGCAAACTTGTCCGTTCTTGAGATTGGCAGCCTCCCAGCATGCACTGCAGCAGCAGCAGCTTTCAATGGAGCACTCCATTGAAAGTTAAAATTTCTCTTTCTGTTGTTCAATCAAAGTACATTTTAGTATCATTTGATGCGAGAATAATATACTTGAAGCGTCACTATATGGCCCATTTACTGATCTTATGCGTAATTTAAAAACAGATTTACGAAGTTGAGAGGACCGCGGCAGCAGCAGACCTCCAAAGCTAACGGGAGCGGCCAGGGCTAACGTTAGCCCGTTTTCAGCAGCCAGGGCTAACGTTAGCCCGTCCCTAGAAATTCCAGACTGATGGTGCAGAAGAATAGCAGTAAAACTGGTTCACGACCAGAAGCAAGCGACATTTGATGTGTGCGGTTGAAGAAGTCTAATCTGCACTTTACACACACAGTTAAACACACACACACACACACACTAACACACATGGGCGTCGGGTTCAGGTGAGGGTGTGTACCTGTAGTCATCAAAGCCGCCATCAGTCCGTCCTCCTGCTGAAAACAACATCTGATTGGTTACTAAGTAACGGCTCCTGTTTATATCTGAACTACAGTTTCCTGAAGGAACCAGCAGCTGCTGAGGCTGTTGGCCATCCTGAAGGTGAAGCAAGTTAAAATCTTGTTTGGATTTTAAAACACAGCTTTAGTCTCTAGTTTATTTTAATATTTGTTTATCTTATGCTTATTTTCCCTTCAGTGGTCTACATGGGTGGACTAAGACACTTTCTACATGGGTAGACTGAGACACTTTCTACCTGGGTGGACTGAGACACTTTCTACATGGTTGGACTGAGACACTTTCTACATGGGTGGACTGAGACACTTTCTACCTGGGTGAACTGAGACACTTTCTACCTGGGTGGACTGAGACACTTTCTACATGGGTGGACTGAGACACTTTCTACCTGGGTAGACTGAGACACTTTCTACCTGGTTGGACTGGGACACTTTCTACCTGCGTGGACTGAGACACTTTCTACCTGGGTGGACTGAGACACTTTCTACCTGGGTGGACTGAGACATTTTTCTAACTGGGTGGACTGAGACACTTTCTACCTGGGTGGACTGAGACATTTTTCTAACTCGGTGGACTGAGACACTTTCTACATGGGTGGACTGAGACACTTTCTACTTGGGTGGACTGAGACACTTTCTACATGGGTGGACTGAGACACTTTCTACCTGGGTGGACTGAGACACTTTCTACCTGGGTGGACTTAGACACTTTCTACCTGGGTGGACTGAGACACTTTCTACCTGGGTGGACTGAGACACTTTCTACCTGGGTGGACTGAGACACTTTCTACCTGGATGGACTGTGACACTTTCTACCTAGGTGGACTGAGACACTTTCTACCTGGGTGGACTGAGACACTTTCTACCTGGATGGACTGAGACACTTTCTACCTGGGTGGACTGAGACACTTTCTACCTAGGTGGACTGAGACACTTTCTACCTGGGTGGACTGAGATTTGACATTTAATGGTTTGGTAATTATAAAATTGAAACTGGAACAAGAGTCATTTTCTTTGAATACAGGATTTCTGGAGCTTATTTTCTGTTTTCATTTTTGTAAATAAATATATTCTCTCCAGTTTTTGCAAGGGTTAAAGGAAAAGTCGCTCATATTCAGAATTCAAACTTCTGAAAGTTCTTTAAATCTGAAATGATTCCATCCTGTTTAATAAATGATCAGTGTTTTTAATTCAGAGTAATTTTCATGTGAATGTGCTTTACTGGAGGCATCCATGTTTGTCAAAGAACACTACTGCCACCTACTGGTTAGTGACATTGTCACGGTGCGGTATCGGCTGTTGATCAAGTCCCAGTGCTGTATCTGATGTTTGTCACAACGCGCTATTATCCAAGTCATCTTGAAAACATTCTTCTTCCAAATGTTGGCTACATATTACGGGTTTTTTCTCTGGCCAGAAGTTCGATGTGTCTAGTAGTTCCCATTGATTTAGCTTGGAAAGCGGGGAGAATGGCGCTAGGCTTACCGCACCGTGACGTCACTGCTGGAAGATGGCAGGAGGGAGGGGCTACTATATTTGGGCAAAAATGGCCGCTCCCAGACTCAATGATCGCGATGAAAATCATTATTTTTATTTTTTTACTGATTTACGCTAAATTCATGAAATCACCGCAATCGTTTTAGTTTTAGGTATAAATAATGATCCATTGATTATTTCCTGCTGACTGAACTTTTCCTTTAAATTCTTTTAAACAATAATTAAATCCTCTTCAGGAAACAGCAACAAATCCTCAAACTAAAGTTCATAAAGTTTCGCAGTACGTTTCCAAACCGATCACTCAGTAAACAGACATGCAGCGTTGCCATGGTGACGGTGTGTGTTTGTGGGCGTGTCGTACCCAGCTCCACGGAGCGTGTGCGAGGGTTGCACTGCTTGTGACCCTTGCAGCCTCTGAGCTCCATCAGCTGGACGTGCAGCTGATTGAGAACGGTCCGATCCAACGAGCTGACGGCGTTTATCAGCTGCAGACACCATGGGAGAAACTTCCGCTTGCTTTGGGTTCCCAGTAAATGTACTGGTTCCAGGAAATAACACAACCAGTGCAGCTTTAGTATCCAGAGACAGACACCCCATGATGGAGAGCTGCTGAGGGTTTCAAAGGTTCCTCAAAGGAAGACCAGAGCTGCACGGTTCATCATCCACATGTGAAGGTTAGATGGCGTTACCTGGTACGGGTCGGTGTTTAGATCGAAGTATTCCAGGAATCCAGTGGCAAACTCACAAAACAGGAAGTTGTGTGTCTCGTTGATGGTCCTCAGACACCAGTAGGTGTTGTTGTTGGCGCTGGTGCAGGCGCAGAACGGTCCCACTGAAACACAAACACAGCCAGTCCTCAGACCCCCCCATGCTAACCACCAGCAGAGACACCTGGTGGTCATTTCTTTCACAGACACGGCAGGTGAAGAGTTCAGGAAAACACAAAGACCAAACGACATGAAGCTAAACGTGGTGATGATGGAAACCGAGCAGCTCTAGGGTGGAGAGGAGGTTCCTAACAGCAGCTGCAGAGCCCTGATTGGTTCTAAGCTGTCTGAGGACATGAAGCGGGACTTTCCTGGTCTTCTACACCTGAACTAATGAAGTCCTGAACCAGTCAAAGGCTGCAGAGACAGGCTTCCTGTGGAAACCTGTGTTTGAAGGTCTGAAGCCAACATTGACGGTATACTGGAGGATTTCCGCCCTCTCACCTTTAAACCAAACCGCTCATGGACAACCCTGTACCCGCTCCAAAGGGATCGCCTATCAAACACGTGCAGGAGCCCATTTCTCCTCCAGGAGGTGCAAGAATGCAGTGATGGGACGGTCGCTGGGATGGATCTCATCTTACCCATATTTATAAATAAAAAGTTTCCAGCAATAAGACTCGTGTTCATTAAATAAAAACATGACCTGCTGGTATCTGTGTGGAAATCTGGACGTGTTCGCAGGTTGAGGTCGAGTCACTGAAAGGTAGAGCCGCATTGGAGAGAGAGAGAGAGAGAGAAATGGCAGTCCTTTTCCAGGGTCTGCATGCAGCGAGGCTAATGCATGCAGCGAGGCTAATGCATGCAGCGAGGCTAATGCATGCAGCGAGGCTAACTGCACGCAGCGAGGCTAATGCGTGCAGCGAGGCTAACTGCATGCAGCGAGGCTAATGCATGCAGCGAGGCTAATGCATGCAGCGAGGCTAACTGCATGCAGCGAGGCTAATGCGTGCAGCGAGGCTAACTGCATGCAGCGAGGCTAATGCATGCAGCGAGGCTAACTGGATGCAGCGAGGCTAACTGCACGCAGTGAGGCTAACTGCATGCAGCGAGGCTAACTGCACGCAGCGAGGCTAACTGCACGCAGTGAGGCTAACTGCACGCAGCGAGGCTAACTGCACGCAGTGAGGCTAACTGGATGCAGCGAGGCTAACTGCACGCAGCGAGGCTAACTGCACGCAGTGAGGCTAACTGGATGCAGCGAGGCTAACTGCACGCAGCGAGGCTAACTGCACGCAGTGAGGCTAACTGCACGCAGCGAGGCTAACTGCACGCAGCGAGGCTAACTGCACGCAGCGAGGCTAACTGCACGCAGCGAGGCTAACTGCACGCAGCGAGGCTAACTGCACGCAGTGAGGCTAACTGCACGCAGCGAGGCTAACTGCACGCAGTGAGGCTAACTGGATGCAGCGAGGCTAACTGCACGCAGCGAGGCTAACTGCACGCAGTGAGGCTAACTGCACGCAGCGAGGCTAACTGCACGCAGTGAGGCTAACTGCACGCAGCGAGGCTAACTGCACGCAGTGAGGCTAACTGCACGCAGCGAGGCTAACTGCACGCAGCGAGGCTAACTGCACGCAGCGAGGCTAACTGCACGCAGCGAGGCTAACTGCACGCAGTGAGGCTAACTGCATGCAGCGAGGCTAACTGCGTGCAGCGAGGCTAACTGCATGCAGCGAGGCTAAGGCTTTATCCTGCTTTCCCTGCCTCAAAGGTCAGGATCTGATCCAGCCTGGATAAAGACAGCTAGGACTGATTTAAAGCACTTTGTGGAAAAGGAAAAGAAGAACAAACAATCTGGGATTCACATGGAAAATAATAGAATATATTCTACTTTTTCTAGATGTTTGTTTATTTGCATAGGTGCTCTTAAATAAACACATTCTCAGAAAATAGTTCTATACAATAAAAAATATAAAGCTGACTAATACCTTGTCTGGTAAAAAGAAAAAAACTGGTAGATTATTGTTTTAGGTTTGTGACTCAATATTGGACAAAACACAGATTAACCTTCGCAGCCTCAGAAGAGATTTATGGACAGGAAGTAAACCTGGACATGAAATGATGTTTTGTTTTTAAGTGTTTTTATCATGTTTTTTGTTGTTGGCATTCATATAAATATACTGGTGTGATAAATTAGTATACGTTTGATTGGTTTTAATGTATAGCGCCCCCTGGAGGAAACTCCACCAGCTGCCACTGCATCTGTGGCCACTTTTACTAATGATGCAAATTCCAAAACAAATCAACTGATCTTCCCTGGAAAGATAATATAGAATATAGAAGTAGATAACTTCGACCAGCAGTGACGTAAAACGGATTTCTCCAAACAGCCGAACTGAACCTGTCGAGAAGAAACTTAGAAACCATTTGATGTCAAAGTTATGGACCATCCATCCGTCCATTAAATATGTTTCCATCACTCCTTCCTAAAGGAAGCATCCAGAGAAATGCTGCCTGGCGTCATGGAGAGTTTTTATAGAATGTCTGAATTATTGAGCTGTTTTCTCAATAAAAAAAACAACTAATAAGGTAATGAGTTAATATTTTTAATACTCAGCCTATTACCAAATATTCAGACACAGTGTAGTTTGGATTCAATTATAATGGTTCCTGTATTAGTGCCAATAATCCAGTAATGAATTATTATTTGGTTATTTTATTGAACTGCAGAGAATAATTGATTAACATCGTTGTACGGCTCCTTCTTCTTTACTTCAGTTCTCTGAAAATCACCAGAATTTAGAAAATAAAGGATATTGTGTACAAAATGTTCCACATAACTACAGATGACTGATTATTACTGCATTTACTGCGCAATAAAGATTCCATATTTTCCCACTTAGTTTCAGTTAAATCCTGAAAATGTCCAACCTTCAGCTGCACCTGTCCTCATCTGACCCTGACAGAGAAATCTGTTCCTAAATCTCCAAAGTTGGTTCATTTATTGAATTGTGTTCTAGAGTCTGATTACAGGCCTCTAATAAAAGAAAGTGTTTTATTATAAGTGATACTGGAGTCTGATTAAAGGCCTCCAGCTTTAAATCATATAAATAGAATGTTACATAGATCATTATACTGGTTTGGTTGAACTGGGATTAACTGGGTTCTGAACTATCAGGGTCAGTTATTAAATATTAGCATTACAGGCCGTCCATGGAGCTTAGGGTTAGGTGACCCCTGACCTGTAATGCTTAGGGTCAGGGGTCAACTGTAGACTGTAGAAATGAATGGAAGTCATGGGAAGTCCCCACAAGAATAGTGTAACACGTGTGTGTGTGTGTGTCCCGTACATGTCCAGAAGGGGGCGGTGTGCCAGTGCTGGTTGTCGTGGGTGAAGCAGGTGAGTCCGGGCATCGAACACGTGTCGTTGTTTCTAATCCTCTTGATCATCTTCCTCATCTTCTTCCTCCTCTTCTGCTCCTTCTGGATCCAGATCTTCTTGTTCCAGGCCCCGTCCTTCCTGCAGCACAGGTACAGGTGTTTACAGGTGAGAAACCTGGCCAGGATCAGCCTGCTCTGATACCTCTGACCTACCTGAAGGGATGAAGACCTCCTCTGAGGCGGAGCTTCTTCTTCAGCTTGGCCTTGTACCTGAACACAAGCTGAATGGGACTCTGCACTGACTTCCATTCATTTCTATACAGTAACACATCAGCAACACACACCTCCCCCTAAACACCACCTCAGTTCCCAGCTAGTCCTAACCCCCCACCCCCCAGGAGGAGCTTTCCTGGTGGGAACCAGTTGGCTGCTTCTCCCAGAGGAGCAGATTCTGGAGAACTGTCCCCACAAGCTGATAAAAAATGGCTACACTCACACACTTTCCTTTAGACTGACTTCTATCCATCCTGTTAACCCAACACTAATCCTAACAACCCTGTTGTCATGGAGACCACCCTGTGGGGGGATCAGACTAATACTGGACCTAAACCCAGAACCTCCTCCTGCAGGGCAGGTCTGCAGCGAACCATTATTTAGCAAACCGATTAATCTGTGGATTATTTCTTCCACTAATCGATTAATGATCGGACAGCCGAAGGTTCGTTAAAGAAGATCAGATGAAACCAGGTGAGACTGAACCTTTTCAGCTTCAGGAGGTCTGGATAGAGAATATTGACAAATGAAAAAATATTTTTATCTGAGATGCAAAATGTTTACATCATATTTTATGCAATCTTGGTATAATTGCTGCTCTAAGTGTGTCGCTCTTTCAGCTAAAGGCCTGTTTTTATAATCCAGTTAACGATTAATTGATTACTACATCAGTTGATAATTATTTAATGGATTAAATGATTAATTGTTGCAGTCCTATTGCTGGTGGCTCCTTTCTGGATGCGTACTCACAGATACTTGTTGCAGTCACACTCTAGGGGGCGGGATTTCTTCAGGTGACCTCTGACCTCTCTCAGGTTCTTTATCCTGGTCTGCAGAGTCTCGATCTGCAAAAGACCAGATGTTCTGTTTCTCCAGGTATCGGCCCAGACTGGTCCTGACCACAGACGGCCTTCCTTTACCATCCTCACAGTGACAGTTATATTGTATGTTATCGTATTTTATCATATCGTATGTTATCGTATCTTATGGTATTATACCTTTCACTATTTCAACTCAGAAAATGACCAACAGTGTGACTTCAGTGTGCAGCGTACGATGTTAGCCTACAGTTGACAGGTGAGCCCTTCCTGGATTTGTTGCAGTTCTACTTTCTGCGAGGCAAAGCTCAGCGTTTTGGTTTCTGTTGCAGAGTTTGCATAAGCAATGTGGCCAATGTTTGCATCTGTCATCTATCTCAGAGATGCAGAGATGATGTGTGAAGCTGCAGCAACAGAGGAGCAATGAGTTGAATAAAAAAAGAAAAAACAGTGATCTGACACCTTTCAGTGTCTGATAGATTCAGCTGGATCTAATTAACGGGGGGGATGAATCATTTGGGTCTGTCAGCGTCACTGCCAGCCAGCAGGCCTCACCTCATGGTCAATGTGCAGCTTGTGGTCCTTCCACGCCTGCAGAGATGTATAAACTCCGGTGTCGCACTTGATGGAGGCGTTGGACAGGATGGAGCACCTGCAGGGAGGCAGTCTGGTTAAACTGGGATCAGAGTCGCTCAGAAAGCGGCTCGGTTCACGCCCTCAGACATACTTCTTTGATCATTCATGCAGAACTGACCTCCGCCATCTGAGCCGTCAGCGACTCATCGCATTTCAACAGAACCCTCATGATTTTACAGCTTTGGTCAATAAAATCTGCAGCTGTTGGGTTTTGTGTTCCTGAAGCTAAGCAGCGCTTCAGACAGCATCCAGCTGTCACCTTGGAAACGGGAAGGAAATCCCAGTCTGGGATCAAAGGCGGGAAAACCAGACCGTGTTCAGGGACAACATGTTCTGTTCAGAACCCTGATCTAGAACGGTTAGAGGTCAAACAGAGGGAAATGGCCCTTTATCTGAATAAATGAACGAACGAATGAACGAATGAATGAATGAATGAACGAATGATTGAATGAATGAATGAATGAATGAATGAATGAATGAACGAATGAATGAATGAACGAATGAATAATTATCTTCAGTGTCTCTCAGACCTGAAATATTTCATGAGTCAATAAAACAACTTTAGCTTTGATGCGTTTATTACAAAAGATCAAAAATCTAAAACAAGTTCTGATTTTACCTCTGAGATAAAGAAACAATAAATCCTGTCAGAAAGTCATTGTGAAGAAAATCTCATTTCCAAACTCAAATTCAAAGGATCCATCAGTGAATATTTTAAACCTAATTCCTTAATAAATCTGTTTCCTGATGGAACCAAGGCTGATTTCAAACTCTTCTCACCTGTGAGTCACTTTCACCGCATCAGATGGCACCACTTGGTCAGGAACTCCTCCCAGTCCACTGAACTCGTCATCTGGCTCGCTCTGATTGGCTCCGCCCACCATGCTGTGGTTACCAGGGTAACCATTTAGGCTGGACAAGGAGCGGCTGTAGCGGTTTCTTGTGTAGCTCTTCATGGTTTTAAACCCTGAGGCGCAGAAAATTAGATTCTGAGGACATGAAGGAAATTGGTAAATCTGTAAACAAGTAAAACACAAGAAATCTGTAAGGTCAACCAATCAATCAACCAATCAATCCATCCATCCATCCATCTTCCTCCGCTTATCCGGGGTCGGGTCACGGGGGCAGCAGCCTAAGAAGGGAGGCCCAGACTTCCCTCTCCCCAGCCACTTCCTCTAGCCCCTCAGGAGGAACCCCAAGGCGTTCCCAGGCCAGCCGAGAAACATAGTCTCTCCAGCGTGTCCTGGGTCTTCCCCGGGGCCTCCTCCCAGTGGGACGTGCCTGGAACACCTCACCAGGGAGGCGTCCAGGAAGCATCCTAACCAGATGCCCGAGCCACCTCAACTGGCTCCTCTCGATGTGGAGGAGCAGCGGCTCTACTCCGAGTCCCTCCCGGATGACTGAGCTCCTCCTCCTATCTCTAAGGGAGAGCCCAGCCACCCTACGGAGGAAACCCATTTCGGCCGCTTGTATCCAGGATCTTGTTCTTTCGGTCATGACCCAGAGTTCATGACCATAGATGAGGGTAGGAACGTAGACGGACCGGTAAATCGAGAGCTTCGCTTTTTGACTCAGCTCTCTCTTCACCAGGACAGACCGGTACAGCGCCCGCTTCACGGCAGACGCTGCGCCAATCCGCCTGTCAATCTCCCGCTCCCTTCTTCCCTCATTCATGATCAAGATCCCGAGATACTTAAACTCCTCCACTTTTGGCAGGACACCCCCCCTGACCCGGAGAAGGCACTCTACCCTCTTCCGGCTAAGACTTACTGCCGGCAATGCGGACCAGACTCTGACACCGGTCATACAGGGACCTGACAGCCCATGTCAAAGGGCCCGGCACCCCGTACTCCTGGAGAACCCCCCACAGGGCCCCCCGAGGGACACGGCCGAACGCCTTCTCCAAGTCCAGAAAGCACATGTAGACTGGTTGGACGAACTCCCATGCACCATCTAGGACCCTGCTGAGGGTGTAGAGCTGGTCCAGCGTTCCACGACCAGGACGGAAACCACACTGCTCTTCCTGAATCCGAGGTCCGACTATCCGATTGACCCTCCTCTCCAGCACCCCCGAATAGACCTTGCCAGGGAGGCTTAAGAGTGTGACTCCCCTGTAATTGGAGCACACCCTCCGGTTCCCCTTTTTAAATAGGGGGACCACCACCCCAGTCTGCCAATCCAGGGGAACTGCCCCCGATGTCCATGCAACATTGCAGAGTCGCGTCAGCCAACACACTCCTAAAACATCCAGGACCTTAAGGAACTCCGGTCGGAACTCATCCACCCCCGGGGCCCTGCCACCGAGGAGCTTTTTAACCACCTCGGCGACCTCGCCCACAGAGATTGGAGAGCCCAGCCCAGAGTCCCCAGGCCCAGCTTCCTCAATGGAAGGCATGTTGGTGGGATTGAGGAGGTCTTCGAAGTATTCCGCCCACCGACCCACAACGTCCCGAGTCGAGGTCAGCAGCACACCATCCCCACTATAAACAGTGTTTGTGCTGCAACTGCCGTCTTTCTCCATGGCCTCTCCAAACACCTCCCACACCTGAGTTTTTGCCTCAGCAACCACCCGAGCTGCATGCCGTTTCGCCCACCGGTACCCATCAGCTGGTTCCGGAGTCCCACAGACCAAAAAGGCCCGATAGGACTCCTTCTTCAACCTGACAGCGTCCCTCACCGGAGGTGTCCACCAGCGGGTTCGAGGGTTGCAGCCATGACAGGCACCGACAACCTTGCGGCCGCAGCTCAGATAAGCCGCCTTGAGAATGGAGGAACGGAACATGGTCCACTCAGACTCAATGTCCCCCACCTCCCCCGGGATGTGTTCGAAGTTCTGCCGGAGATGGGAGTTAAAGCCCCGCCTAACACGGGACTCCGCCAGATGTTCCCAGCAGACCCTCACAACACGTTTGGGCGTGCCAGGTCTGACCAGCATCCTCCCTCACCACCGGAGCCAACTCACCACCAGGTAGTGGTCAGTGGAAAGCTCCGCACCTCTCTTCACCCGAGTGTCCAAGACATACGGCCGCAAGTCCGATGAAACGATCACAAATCAACCAATCAATCAACCAATCAATCAATCAATCAATCAACCAATCAATCATCTCTCCTACTAAATGAAAAACAGTCCATAGAGATGGAGGAGGAAGGTTCTGTCCACTAGAGGGCAGCATCCTCAAACATTATACAGATGCTAATATGGAGTCACTGCAAAATGTAAATAAAGTAACATGTGAGCAAACAACAGGAACAGACCTGCTGACATATTTGGACTCCTTCCTGTCCATTTTAATGACTGGTTGTGGTCTTTCCCACTCAGTGGCGTCTCCCTCCTGCTATCCAATAGTCACTACACCATTAGTGCCGACCACCGCAGGGTCAGCCAAGGTCACCCTTTCAGTTCACTTCAGTTTATTTCTATAGCTCTACAAAACACGTCATCTCAGATAACTTTCCAGTTCACCAGATCATCCAGTCAGATTGATTCAAAGTTTTCTATCTAAGGAAAACCAGCTGATTGCATCGACTCATTGACTCTTCAGCAATCCCTCACACTAAGCATGCTTGTAGCGACAGTGGAGAGGAAAAACTCCCTTTGAACAGGAAGAAACCTCCAGCAGAACCAGGCTCAGTGTGAGCGGCCATCTGCTGAGGCCCACTGGGGTTCAAGGAGACAGAAGCAGACATAGAAAAAGAAGCATAGATACAAAAGGCAACTGTCAACCAGCTCCACAGGCGGCCCCGTCCAGGAAACACACAGCCAGGCAGACGAGCTCCGAGCCAGCTCCCATGTCAGAGGATGAAGAGAGCACATCCAGTTAGTCACAGTCAGAGAAACAGGACTACACTGGAAAACAGGCCAAGCTTCAACATCTAGAAACAAAGGTGTTGATGGCAGCAGCACAGCTGATATTTCTCTCCAGGATGGAGTCACAGCCAAACAGGAACAGACCAGATGAAGCTACTATGAGAAAAAGCAGAGAGAGCAGAACGTTAGAGATTGAACTAACAGATTCTGCAGAGTGGGAGAATAGAGATAGAATGAAGCAGAATGATGAAAAAGGGGTCCCTATGTCCTCCAGCAGTCTAAGCCTATAGCAGCAGAACTATAGAGATAGAATGATGAAAAAGGGGTCCCTATGTCCTCCAGCAGTCTAAGCCTATAGCAGCAGAACTATAGAGATAGATCAGGATAACCTGAGCCACTCTAACTAGAAGCTTTATCAAAAAGGAAAGTTTTAAGCCTAGCCTTAAAAGTAGACAGGGTGTCTGCCTCACGGACTAAAACTGGTAGTTGGTTCCACAGGAGAGGAGCCTGATAACTAAAAGATCTGCCTCCCATTCTACTTTTAGAAATTCTAGGAACCACTAGTAAACCTGCAGATTGAGAGCGAAGTGCTCTGTTAGGAACATCAGGAACAATCAGATCTCTGATATCAGATGGAGCTTGGCCATTTAAGGCTTTATATGTGAGAAGGAAGATTTGAGCTTACCCTAGCTGACCTTTGCTGACCCTAACTGACCCTAGCTGACCCTGGCTTAGTTAAAGTGTCGCTGATTTGACCGGTTATCCCACCGTTTGTTAAAAATGGTGTCATAACGGAGATCTCACCTAAATGTGGTTCTGATTGAATATTTTCTTTAAGCCTTGATATGATTTATTGTTGTAGGGTTCAAAGGTTAACCTGAACAGCCCTCAGTAATTCCCCTGATGAAGCAGCAGTATCAACGTTCATCGGCCTTCCTTCACCAGCAGCTGGTGTGTCATGGCAACAGTCGCTACCAGAGCTTGGGCTGCTGCCATGGGGATAACAGATTCCTGATTCCTGAGGAAAAGGCCAGATGGTGTAGTTATATCCTACAGCGCAATCAAGAGGCCTCGGCTCAGCTGCACATGAGACGCCACTGACTGGGAAAGGCTCTCTGTTTGAGGTCCACTCACTGCTGCCACCTGCTGCTGGAACAAGGTAACACTCACTCTTCTTGGAGAAGAACGATTTCTTCTTGAACGACTTCAAGATGGGGGGCCGGAGGTTGGTGGGCAGGAGGTCGCTGAAGTCGCAGTTGCAGGCATCTGAGTTGGGAAGGTACAGCTGAGATTTGATGCTGATTGGATGTCGGTGGTTGGACACGCCCCTTTGGAAGCTTTTGACCCTGCCCCCTTCACTCTTGCATTTGGAGAGCCGCAGTTTTCCTGATGCATCCTCCTCACACTGCCACTTCTAAACACATAGAGAACAACGGGTCAGGAAGCTGAGCTCAGTTTGGTGCTGATAAACATCAGTCCAACTTGGGTTAAGGTCTTCACTGCCTATACTCCGCCACCATTTCAAGGAAACACTTGTGACCAGGGAAGTCCATTTCCTGGAGCCAGAACCTTCCAGAAGCAGATAAAAGGAATTACTCCTGAACCAAGAATATGAATTAGAAACTACAGCATAAGGTCATCGAACAATAAGCTTTGGTCTTTCTGATGTCTGAACAAGACCTGGTCCTGGACTGTTGGCCACTCTGAGCTGAAATGGTACCTGTAAATTCCCAGCTGACCCTGAATGCAGCGTCAGGGCAAAAGAGTTAAACACAACCTTTCAGTGCAAAAAACAAGACGGAAAGGACAGAAGGATGGGACCCAGCAGAGAACCAAGGACAGACCAATGGACACAACCAAGGACAGACCAATGGACACACCAATGGACAGAACAATGGACACAACCATGGACAGACCAATGGACACACCAATGTACAGAACAATGGACACAACCAAGGACAGAGCAATGGACAGGACCCAGGTGAGAATAGGACCAAGAGCATAACTCTGTACTAAACTTAGGACAGAACTTTGGAAGGAGAACAGGGCCTTAAAACGTGGAGGAACTGATGGAGCCATTAGAACTATAAGCTTTGATTCTTCTAAAGAATCAAATATATTCAATATGTTGAAAGAAGAAGTTCCTCCTACATGGAAACGGTTACAGAGGAAGGAGCCAAGGAGGAACCTTCTTTTTGTAAAGTTCTGGACCAGAGGAGGTTAATGGCAAAGAGTCTCCAGGTGCTTGAAGTACCTGTCCGGTCTGCTGGCAGGGCGTCTGGTACTCGGCTCTCTGGCACAGGTCTTTGACGCGCTGGTGTTTGGGTAGGACGTTCTCCTCCTCCGACACCTCCTTCCCCTCCACCCGCTGATGAAGCAGCTTCCTGTGAGAAAAAGAGTTTCAGCCCAGAACTTCCCGGATGATCTGGTTCTGGTTCTGTGAACTGTTTCCCTGGAGATAGATATGATGTGACACAGAGGCTGCTCCACGAGAACATGTAAGACCACCAGCTGATCACCAAAGGTCAGGAAGCAGATCAGCAAACCTTCACTGACAGCGGATGCTTCTGGACCAACAGACTGGCAAAGAATCAGAGGTCAGCATCCAGCACAACCAGTCAGCAGGAAGGTCAAATATCTGCTGACTTACTCCATAAGGAGATTCCATCCTGATATCTCAGAACAGACCCTACAGGTACCAGGAGACCCCTTCTGTAGGATCTCAGGGTGCTTTCAGAGCACAAAGAATGCACAGCTCCTCTAGAAGGTTCTAGACTGCTTTGATCCAGTTGAACGTTCAGTGTTAGCAAAACTATTGTCTTCATCTAAACCTTCAACTTGGATGTTAGATCCAGTTCCAACCAGGTTATTTAAGGAGGTATTCCCTTTGATCTCCTCCTCCATTCTAGATGTGATTAATCTATCTCTGTTACAGGGATATGTACCAAAGGCTTTTAAGGTTGCTGGAATTAAACCTCTGCTTAAGAAACCGTCTCTTGACCCAGATGACTTGGTCAATTATAGACCTATATCCAATCTTTCTTTCTGATCTAATATTCTTGAGAAAGTAGTTGCCAAACAAGTGTGCGATCACTTCCACCATAATGAACTTTTTGAAGAGTTTCAGTCTGGCTTTAGAGCTCATCATAGCACTGAAACAGCTCTGGTGAAAGTCACTAATGATATTCTCATGGCCTCAGATAATGGACTTGTATCTGTGCTCGTCCTGTTGGATCTCAGTGCTGCATTTGATACAGTTGATCAGAATATTCTTTTAGAAAGACTTGAATATTTTGTTGGAATTAAAGGAACAGCTCCAGACTGGTTTAAATCTGATCTATCTGATCGATTTCAGTTTGTTCATGTTAATGATAGATCTTCCTCATGCTCAAAGGTTACCTGTGGAGTACCACAGGGATCAGTGCTAGGACCAATTCTCTTTACTTTATACATGCTCCCAATCGGTAGAATTATTAGACAGCATGGGATTAATTTCCACTACATGGATGGTGGTTCCATTCTGTCTGCTTCAGAAACACCTTCATGACCTCCACTAAGACGTCCAGAGGAAGCTGTGGTCTGTTGGGATGGTCTGCAGTGGTCTGGAGCAGTTTCTGAACTAAAGGCAGGTGGTTGTGTTTAATTACCCTCTTTCCACCAGGAAGGAGTCTCTCCACACCTTTGGCTTCCTGTTCACCTGAAACCTGGAGCACACAGAGGAACAGCAGGGTGAGTTCTACCAGCCCACCATCCAACAGCATCCAACTGCCATCCAGCTACCATCCTACCAAAATCCAACACCATCCAATCACCATCCTACAAGAATCCAACAGCATCCAACACCATCCAATCACCATCCTACAACCATCCGACAGCATCCAACACCATCCAACCACCATCCAACAGCATCCAACACAATCCAACAGCATCCAACACCATCCAGCTACCATACCACAGCATCCAACACCATCCAACTACCATCCTACTACAATCTAACAGCATCCAGCCATCATCCTACAACCATCCGACAGCATCCAACACCATCCAACCACCATCCAACAGCATCCAACACCATCCAACAGCATCTGACAGCATCCAACTACTATCCAACAGCATACAACAGCATCCAACTACCATCCAACACCATGCAACACCATCCAACTACCATCCAACAACATCCAACACCATCCAACAGCAATCCAACAGCATTCAACAGCATCCAACAGTCTCCAACACCATCCAACCACCATCCAACAGCATCCAACTACCATCCAGCAGCATCCAACTACCATGCAACAGCATCCAACAGCATGCAACAACCATCTGACAGCATCTATCCACCATCCGACAGCATCCAACTACCATCCAACAGCATCCAACAGCATGCAACTAGCAACCAGTAGCCTCCAACACCATCTAACCACCATCCAACAATATTCAACACACTCCAACACCGTCCAACTACCATCCAACAGCATCCAGCAGCATCCAACAACCACCACACAGCATCCAACACCATTCAACCACCATCCAACAGCATCCAACACCATCCACCCACAATCCGACAGCATCCAACTACCATCCAGGAGCATCCAACTACCATCCAACAGCATCCAACACCATCCAACCACCATCCAACAGCATCCAACTACCATCCAACCACCATCCGACAGCATCCAATTACCATCAAATAGCACCTGATGGCATCCAACTACCATGCAACAGCAAACAACAATTCGACAGCATCCAACTACCATCCAGCAGCATCCAACTACCATCCAACACCATCCAACCACCATCCAACAGCATCCAACTACCATCCAACCACCATCCGACAGCATCCAACTACCATCAAATAGCACCTGATGGCATCCAACTACCATGCAACAGCAAACAACAATCCAACAGCATCTGACAGCATCCAACTACATCTAATAGCACCCAACACTATCCAACTACTATAAACAGTATTCAACACCATCCCATTACCATCCGACAGCATCCAACAACCATCAAACAGCACCTGACAGCATCCAACTATATCTAATAGCATCCAACACCATCCAACTACCATCCAACAGCATCCAACAGCATCCAACCACCATCCTACAGCATCCAGCTACAATCAAACAGCACCTGACAGCATCCAACTACATCTAATAGCACCCAACACTATCCAACTACTATAAACAGTATTCAACACCATCCCATCACCATCCGACAGCATCCAACAACCATCAAACAGCACCTGACAGCATCCAACTATATCTAATAGCATCCAACACCATCCAACTACCATCCAACAGCATCCAACACCATCCAACCACCATCCTACAGCATCCAGCTACAATCAAACAGCACCTGACAGCATCCAACTACATCTAATAGCACCCAACACTATCCAACTACTATAAACAGTATTCAACACCATCCCATCACCATCCGACAGCATCCAACAACCATCAAACAGCACCTGACAGCATCCAACTATATCTAATAGCATCCAACACCATCCAACTACCATCCAACAGCATCCAACACCATCCAACCACCATCCTACAGCATCCAGCTACAATCAAACCGCACCTGACAGCATCCAACTAACATCCAACAGCATGCAACCCCATCCAACACCATCCAACTACCATCCAACAGCATCCAACAGCATCCAACACCATCCAACCACCATCCTACAGCATCCAACTACAATCAAACAGCACCTGACAGCATCCAATCAACATCCAACAGCATGCAACCCCTTCCAACCACCATCCAACAGCATCCAACACCATCCAACAGCATCTGACAGCATCCACCACCATCCAACAGCATCCAACTACTATCCAACAGCATCCAACAGCATCCAACTACCATCCAACACCATCCAACACCATCCAACCACCATCCAACAGCATCCAACACCATCCAAAACCATCCAACACCATCCAACTACCATCCAAAACCATCCAACACCATCCAACTACCATCCAAAACCATCCAACCACAATCCAACATCATCTGACAGCATCCAACTACATCTAATAGCATCCATCATCATCCATCCATCCATCCATCCATCCATCTTCCATCCATCCCTCCATCATCCATCCATCCTCCATCCATCGTCCATCCATCCTCTATCCTCCATCCATCCATCCATCCACCATCCATCCATCATCATCCATCCCTCCATCATCCATCCATCCATCCATCCATCATCCATCCATCCATCCATCATCATCCATCCATCATCCATCCATCATCCATCCATCTATCCATCCACCCATCATCATCATCCATCCATCATCCATCCATCCATCCATCCATCCATCCATCCATCCATCCATCCATCATCATCCATCCCTCCATCATCCATCCATCCATCCATCCATCATCCATCCATCCTCCATCCATCCACCCATCATCCTCCATCCCTCCATCATCCATCCATCATCCATCCATCCATCCATCCATCCATCCATCCATCCATCCATCCATCCATCCATCCATCATCATCCATCCCTCCATCAGCCATCCATCCATCCATCCATCCATCCATCATCCATCCATCCATCCATCCATCCATCCATCATCATCTATCCCTCCATCATCCATCCATCCATCCATCTTCCATCCATCCATCCATCATCCATCCATCCTCCATCCATCGTCCATCCATCCCTCCATCAGCCATCCATCCATCCATCCATCATCCATCCATCCATCCATCTTCCATCCATCCATCCATCATCCATCCATCCATCCATCCATCATCCATCCATCCATCCATCCATCCATCCATCATCATCCATCCCTCCATCAGCCTTCCATCCATCCATCCATCCATCATCCATCCATCCATCCATCCATCCATCCACCATCCATCCATCCATCCATCCATCCATCCATCTATCCATCCATCCATCCCTCCATCCATCCATCCATCCATCCATCCATCCATCCATCCATCCATCCATCCATCCATCCATCCATCCATCCATCCATCCATCCATCCATCCACGCTGTGGGCTCTGAATAGCCCCTCTGGGTGTTTCCACCTGTTGGCTGATTTGTCGGTGTCCAGCAGGGATAGGATGGACTTTCCGTCCATGTCTGGAGGAATGTCGATGCCGGCGATGTCCAGGATGGTTGGAGCCAGATCGATGTTCAGAACCATGTGAGCGTTACTGAAACAAACACCCAGATTTTCATGGTTAGGATCCGTCATGATTAAAGTTCTCAAACAGGGAGATAAATTCCTGACTTTCCTTCAATTTGTAGATAAAATAAAGATCCAACTCTGGAAAGTTTCTGTTGCTAGGCTACAGCAGAGCGAGGAGGCATGGTTGTCTAGAGATGTGCTTCTGTATAGCATTTCAAAGTAAATAATTCATGTTAAATTGGGCTGAGAAAGCTTTAAACGCAGTGAAGAGCAGTAAATCTGCTCATGGTGCCGCAGCTCTGAGGGCAATAATCTGCTTTAGCTGCTACACCGACTCCCGTTCCCTCTGAGGAACACTAAAATCAGATCTAAATGATGCATTCTGCTGTCACTCTGATCAGTTTTAAGCTTAATTTGGTGCTGATTTCTAACAGAAGAGCTGCAGAGCTGATCCAGATGTTAGCTCAGCTCCTCCAGACAGATCCCTGATCTGTCAGTTAATCAGAGGGGCTATTGAAGATCAATCCTTCAGCCACTGCAGCCTCAGAGGAGGGCCGTGCCGAAGCTTCGTCAGTGGTGGGTGTGGGGGGCGTTGGGTTGGTGCTTACATGCTGCCTTGCTCCACGTTTGGTCCTCTGATGTAAAACGGTACCCTGATGTCGAATTCATACGGCATGGATTTACCTGCAGACACAGGGCAGAACACGTCACTGGCCTTGGTGCTGAACCTGAGCTGGTCTGAGCAGGTTCATAGTTAAGGTCTCTTTCTGTTTGCAGGCTTCAACGCTCAGCCTCCCAGTTTATTCCTGTTCTTATGAACATCAAGTTATGAGCATAGAAATGCAGAACAGGAAGTTGAAATGGATCAATGAGCAGAATGAGCAAAACCTGATCTAATAAAGGCCAGACTGAGCAAAGCTAAGCTGAGGAAGTAACCCAAGAAATCTAGCTAGCATGAGACAAGTTAGCTACAGACTAAGCTAAGCTAAGCAGAAATGGGCTAACTGAGTGGCCTCTAATTGAAATCATGGACGGCTGGTGTCCTGAAACTTTCTGCTGCATCACTATCAGCAGGCTGATGGTGGAGCTAAACTGGAACCGATCTAAAAACTCCAGGATAGACGCCCTACAGGACAGCAGTCCTATGGGACAGCAGTCCTACAGGACAGCAGTCCTACGGGACAGCAGCCCTATGGGACAGCAGCCCTACGGGACAGCAGCCCTACAGGACAGCAGTCCTATGGGACAGCAGTCCTATGGGACAGCAGCCCTACAGGACAGCAGTCCTACGGGACAGCAGCCCTATGGGACAGCAGCCCTACGGGACAGCAGCCCTACGGGACAGCAGTCCTACGGGACAGCAGCCCTATGGGACAGCAGCCCTACGGGACAGCAGCCCTACGGGACAGCAGCCCTATGGGACAGCAGCCCTACGGGACAGCAGCCCTACGGGACAGCAGCCCTATGGGACAGCAGCCCTACAGGACAGCAGTCCTATGGGACAGCAGTCCTATGGGACAGCAGCCCTACAGGACAGCAGTCCTACGGGACAGCAGCCCTATGGGACAGCAGCCCTACGGGACAGCAGCCCTACGGGACAGCAGCCCTATGGGACAGCAGCCCTATGGGACAGCTTTCCTACGGGACAGCAGCCCTACAAGTCAGCAGCCCTACAGGACAGCAGCCCTATGGGACAGCAGCCCTACAGGACAGCAGCCCTACAGGACAGCAGCCCTATGGGACAGCAGCCCTACAGGACAGCAGCCCTACAGGACAGCAGCCCTATGGGACAGCAGCCCTATGGGACAGCAGCCCTACAGGACAGCAGCCCTACAGGACAGCAGCCCTATGGGACAGCAGCCCTATGGGACAGCAGCCCTACAGGACAGCAGCCCTATGGGACAGAAGCCCTATGGGACAGCCGCCCTACAGGACAGCAGCCCTATGGGACAGCAGCCCTACAGGACAGCAGCCCTATGGGACAGCCACCCTATGGGACAGCAGCCCTACAGGACAGCAGCCCTATGGGACAGCAGCCCTACAGGACAGCAGCCCTATGGGACAGCCACCCTACAGGACAGCAGCCCTATGGGACAGCCACCCTATGGGACAGCCGCCCTACAGGACAGCAGCCCTATGGGACAGCAGCCCTACAGGACAGCAGCCCTATGGGACAGCCGCCCTACAGGACAGCAGCCCTACAGGACAGCAGCCCTACAGGACAGCAGCCCTACAGGACAGCAGCCCTACAGGACAGCAGCCCTACAGGACAGCAGCCCTATGGGACAGCCGCCCTACAGGACAGCAGCCCTATGGGACAGCCGCCCTACAGGACAGCAGCCCTATGGGACAGCAGCCCTACAGGACAGCAGCCCTATGGGACAGCCACCCTATGGGACAGCCGCCCTACAGGACAGCAGCCCTATGGGACAGCAGCCCTACAGGACAGCAGCCCTATGGGACAGCCACCCTATGGGACAGCAGCCCTATGGGACAGCAGCCCTACAGGACAGCAGCCCTATGGGACAGAAGCCCTATGGGACAGAAGCCCTATGGGACAGAAGCCCTACAGGACAGCAGCCCTACAGGACAGCAGCCCTATGGGACAGAAGCCCTATGGGACAGCAGCCCTACAGGACAGCAGCCCTACAGGACAGCAGCCCTATGGGACAGCAGCCCTATGGGACAGAAGCCCTACAGGACAGCAGCCCTACAGGACAGCAGCCCTACAGGACAGCAGCCCTATGGGACAGCCACCCTATGGGACAGCAGCCCTATGGGACAGCAGCCCTACAGGACAGCAGCCCTACAGGACAGCAGCCCTATGGGACAGCAGCCCTATGGGACAGCAGCCCTACAGGACAGCAGCCCTATGGGACAGAAGCCCTATGGGACAGCAGCCCTACAGGACAGCAGCCCTATGGGACAGAAGCCCTATGGGACAGCCACCCTATGGGACAGCAGCCCTACAGGACAGCAGCCCTACAGGACAGCAGTCCTATGGGACAGCAGCCCTACAGGACAGCAGCCCTATGGGACAGAAGCCCTATGGGACAGCAGCCCTACAGGACAGCAGCCCTATGGGACAGAAGCCCTATGGGACAGCCACCCTATGGGACAGCAGCCCTATGGGACAGCAGCCCTACAGGACAGCAGCCCTATGGGACAGAAGCCCTATGGGACAGCAGCCCTACAGGACAGCAGCCCTATGGGACAGCAGCCCTACAGGACAGCAGCCCTATGGGACAGAAGCCCTATGGGACAGCCACCCTATGGGACAGCAGCCCTATGGGACAGCAGCCCTACAGGACAGCAGCCCTATGGGACAGAAGCCCTACAGGACAGCAGCCCTATGGGACAGCCACCCTATGGGACAGCAGCCCTATGGGACAGCAGCCCTACAGGACAGCAGCCCTATGGGACAGAAGCCCTATGGGACAGCAGCCCTACAGGACAGCAGCCCTACAGGACAGCAGCCCTATGGGACAGCAGCCCTATGGGACAGCAGCCCTACAGGACAGCAGCCCTATGGGACAGAAGCCCTATGGGACAGCAGCCCTACAGGACAGCAGCCCTACAGGACAGCAGCCCTATGGGACAGCAGCCCTACAGGACAGCAGCCCTACGGGACAGCAGCCCTATGGGACAGCAGCCCTACAGGACAGCAGCCCTACAGGACAGCAGCCCTACAGGACAGCAGCCCTATGGGACAGCAGCCCTACAGGACAGCAGCCCTACAGGACAGCAGCCCTATGGGACAGAAGCCCTATGGGAAAGCAGCCCTACAGGACAGCAGCCCTATGGGACAGAAGCCCTATGGGACAGCAGCCCTACAGGACAGCAGCCCTATGGGACAGCAGCCCTATGGGACAGCAGCCCTATGGGACAGCTTTCCTACGGGACAGCAGCCCTATGGGACAGAAGCCCTATGGGACAGCAGCCCTACAGGACAGCAGCCCTACAGGACAGCAGCCCTATGGGACAGCAGCCCTATGGGACAGCAGCCCTACAGGACAGCAGCCCTATGGGACAGAAGCCCTATGGGACAGCAGCCCTACAGGACAGCAGCCCTACAGGACAGCAGCCCTATGGGACAGAAGCCCTATGGGACAGCAGCCCTACAGGACAGCAGCCCTACAGGACAGCAGCCCTACGGGACAGCAGCCCTATGGGACAGCCACCCTATGGGACAGCTTTCCTATGGGACAGCAGCCCTATGGGACAGCAGCCCTACAGGACAGCAGCCCTATGGGACAGCTTTCCTACGGGACAGCAGCCCTACAGGACAGCAGTCCTATGGGACAGCAGCCCTATGGGACAGCCACCCTATGGGACAGCTTTCCTATGGGACAGCAGCCCTATGGGACAGCAGCCCTACAGGACAGCAGCCCTATGGGACAGCTTTCCTACGGGACAGCAGCCCTACAGGACAGCAGTCCTATGGGACAGCAGCCCTATGGGACAGCAGCCCTACAGGACAGCAGCCCTATGGGACAGCTTTCCTACGGGACAGCAGCCCTATGAGACAGCGGCCCTCCAGGACAGCAGTCCTATGGGACAGCAGCCCTATGGGACAGCCACCCTATGGGACAGCTTTCCTATGGGACAGCAGCCCTATGGGACAGCAGCCCTACAGGACAGCAGCCCTATGGGACAGCTTTCCTACGGGACAGCAGCCCTATGAGACAGCGGCCCTCCAGGACAGCAGCCCTATGGGACAGCAGCCCTACAGGACAGCAGCCCTATGGGACAGCTTTCCTACGGGACAGCAGCCCTATGAGACAGCGGCCCTCCAGGACAGCAGCCCTATGGGACACCAGCCCTATGAGACAGCAGCCCTATGGGACAGCTTTCCTATGGGACAGCAGCCCTATGGGACAGCAGTCCTATGGGACAGCAGCCCTATGGGACAGCAGCCCTATGGGACAGCTTTCCTACGGGACAGCAGCCCTACAGGACAGCAGTCCTATGGGACAGCAGCCCTATGGGACAGCTTTCCTACGGGACAGCAGCCCTACAGGACAGCAGTCCTATGGGACAGCAGCCCTATGGGACAGCTTTCCTACGGGACAGCAGCCCTACAGGACAGCAGTCCTATGGGACAGCAGCCCTATGGGACAGCCACCCTATGGGACAGCAGCCCTATGGGACAGCAGCCCTACAGGACAGCAGCCCTATGGGACAGCAGACCTATGGGACAGCTTTCCTACGGGACAGCAGCCCTACAGGACAGCAGTCCTATGGGACAGCCACCCTATGGGACAGCAGCCCTATGGGACAGCTTTCCTACGGGACAGCAGCCCTACAGGACAGCAGTCCTATGGGACAGCCACCCTATGGGACAGCTTTCCTATGGGACAGCAGCCCTATGGGACAGCAGCCCTACAGGACAGCAGCCCTATGGGACAGCAGCCCTACAGGACAGCAGTCCTATGGGACAGCAGCCCTATGGGACAGCAGCCCTACAGGACAGCAGTCCTATGGGACAGCCACCCTATGGGACAGCTTTCCTATGGGACAGCAGCCCTATGGGACAGCAGCCCTACAGGACAGCAGCCCTATGGGACAGCAGCCCTATGGGACAGCAGCCCTACAGGACAGCAGTCCTATGGGACAGCAGCCCTATGGGACAGCAGCCCTACAGGACAGCAGCCCTATGGGACAGCTTTCCTACGGGACAGCAGCCCTACAGGACAGCAGCCCTATGGGACAGCTTTCCTACGGGACAGCAGCCCTATGAGACAGCGGCCCTCCAGGACAGCAGCCCTATGGGACAGCTTTCCTATGGGACAGCAGCCCTATGAGACAGCGGCCCTCCAGGACAGCAGCCCTATGGGACAGCTTTCCTATGGGACAGCTTTCCTATGGGACAGCTTTCCTATGAGACAGCGGCCCTATGGGACAGCTTTCCTATGGGACAGCTTTCCTATGAGACAGCGGCCCTATGGGACAGCCGCCCTATGGGACACCTGGACCCTAACCCTGAGGCCATCAGGCAGACTGACTTCCTAGAGGATCTAGTGGTGAATCCCTGCAGGATGGACCATGGTTACCTTTGACTAGGCCGAACTGTCCGATGTGGTAGCCGTGGTCTGAGGTGTAGATGATGTAGGTGTTCTCCAGCTCACCCGTCTCCACCAGCATGTCGTAAAGCTGCAGAAACAAACAGGTTTTTCTCCATCTGCTCCACATGCAGATGTTTCCCCTCCAGCATCATCTTTACCTTCTCCATGCTGTCGTCTACAGACAGCAGCGTCTGCAGCCGCTTCCTCTGCAGCATGTTGGTGAACTCCATGTGGATGGGCTTCATGGGGCCAGTGTAACGCATGATCCAGTGCTTGTCCATGTTTGGAGCATAGTTATAACTGGGAGTTCTGGTCAGACAGGTGAAGGAGAGAAAATACGATATGCTCCTGTCATCAGCCAATCAAACACCAGCATTCCAAGGCACAAAGAAAAACTGATGTTCTTAAACACAAACATGCTGACTGTTGAAATACGTCTCATAAATAAAAACCTCTCCGTTTCTGAGGAGACTTCAGCGGGGGACAGAGTGACCAAACCCGACCCAGTGACTGTATGCTTCCCCCGCCTGCCTTACTGGGCAGCACAGGGCCGCCGTTTTCCAGGCTACCGTCACCGGGTCGCCGGGGTTCCCAGAGCAGCCCCCCGGCGGAACCGAGCCCTCAGCCCAGAGCTGAGGGCTCGGTTCTGCTGCACTGCAGTCGACCAAAATCCCAGACGATTTTGAAATTCCCCCCGGACATTTTTTTAGGTCTGTAAAGTAGGACATGTCCGGGAAAAAGGGGACGTCTGGTCACCCAACCATATCAACAATCTGATGTTTCAGTGAGTGAGTGCTTGTTGCTATGATCCGTCTTGGCTTAGCAACCTTAAGGACCAGCACCTAATACCCTTTAGAGTAATTCTATGACCCTTTAAGGCCGTTAAAACATTTTCTTTGAACTACTGCAGAAAGTTAAAGGTGCTAGAAAAGAAATCACTGGATGGACTATTTCTTTATTTGGTTATTTTAAATGTCGGTCTTTTACTGTCTGAGTGCAGCAGGGTGCAGCAGGTGGATGGAAACCTGTCGCATGTAGGTTTTTGGGGAGGGGGTCGTTACTGGAGGGCCCCACCTTCTAATGACGTCCCCCACCCCAATTTTATTTTGCATTTTAGACACTTCAATCTACAACATTTTCACAACACACATCTATGTAGAGCATTGCTGGGGGGGTCAGGGGCACCCGGGGGTGGGGTTTATTTCATGGGCCTCACTACGGTTGGCTCCCCCCATTCTCTCTCGCATTTAGACATTGAGGGTTCTGGGTTGTCAATTGGGGGGGTGCGCTGGCACTGCCTGTACTCTGAAGGGGGGGTTGACTGTGCTGGACACCCCCTTTTGGTACTCCCAGTTTTAATGACACCTGAGAGGAACACGCAAAAACACCCCATTTGAGCGGAGGGGGGATCGGGGTCTTCTCACACCCCTGTTCTCTGGCTGCCCCCGGAGTCTGGGGCTGGGGATTATTGGATGTGACTGTTATGTGTAATTATACATCCATTTTTTTTTTTTTTCGCCAAATGCAGAGCCCATCCGCCCCGTCTGCGGCTCCCGGGGGCTCCGGCATTGGGGTGGCTGAGGAGCTTCATCTGGGCTGTCTCTCCCCCTCCCTCTGGTGGGGGTCTGATTCCCTGGGCTGGCCCCTCCTTGGTGCCTTTGCCCTTGGGGAATTTTTGGGCGTCTGGGGCTTTGGGTCTCCCAGCGCTGGATTCAGTGCTCTGGGGGGGGGCGCCTCTTCAGCTCTGCACAACCACTATTGAGCATTTTCACTATTGCACTTTCACAAACAAGTACAGGTGCTTAGTTCCAGGTACTCAGAGATTCACTTCCACACAGAAGGCCTGTATTCTGATCTTCAGGTAACACAGAGTACATGTCAGACTAAATATTCCGTAAAAATTCAAAAAATATCCACTGGACTTGGTTTCCAAGGTTTGGAGACGTTTCTCTTTCTCTCCTGGAAGCTTTCTCCATTCTAATGTCTGGATCCGCAGTGAGTTTGAGTCTTTATAGACAAAGCCTTCTATCGCTTGGAAACATGCAAATGGAAACCGATGAATGGGTCGTTTGGTTCCATTGTTAGCCTGTAATACCTGAAACCTGTCTATGGTTCTTGAAGTCATCGTTAAAGGGGGGGGATTGCCATTATGGGGGGGATTGTTACCTGTAATACCTGAAACCTGTCTATGATTGATAAGAGTCGGTCGTTAAGGAGGTATTGTTCACCGGCTGGAGCGGGTAGGTTCCTCGTTCCTCTGTGATGCGGTGGGGGGGGGGGGGTGTGGTGATATCTGGAAGGGCGAAACGTCTTCATATCTTGGAAACCAAGTCCAGTGGATATTTTTTTAATTTCTACGGAATGACTACGACCTGGATGACTGAGAACCTTCATCAGCATATGTCAGATTAAATAATACTACTGATACTTCTGCGATAGAATCTAGGTGTTGATTTATCGTATGTCTCCTTCCATGTCTGTTGGTTGTTCTGTTCTTTTTCCATCTCTTTGCAGGTGATGAAGCAGACTGAAGATGTTTTATCATTATCTCAATTTTATCTCCTCTTTCTTTCATCTTTTCTCCTGTTTTTCCTTTCCTGCTCTACTTACATTTCAGTGTCCATATAATCTGTAAAACTCCCTGCATGATTATAATAAAGCAATTTATATGCATGAATCAAGCAGAACACTATGGCGATAGCCGTACTGCTCCACTGGTGAAATTAAAACCTGTTGGGCTCTTTCTGGCATCAAGACAATTATTCTTATCGCCAGACGGGACACTTTAAATAAAAAAGGAACCGTCGCATCAGATGGAGACGCTCGGCTGATAAAGGGTTAAACTGAACTGATTTAAAGTGACGTCTAGAGCTCTGGTACTAGACTAACTCTGAGTTTAGAGCCAGCAACCAGACAGCCAATCAGGAAAACAGTCCGTCAATATGTGAATCAGTCAGTCAGTTACTAGATCAGTCAGTAAATGAATCAGTCAGTCAGTTACTAGATCAGTCAGTAAATGAATCAGTCGGTCAGTGTGTGTTTGGACAAAAACAGGCAGTCAAACTGAAATAGACCGAATCCAGAACCAGTTCAGAACCGCCCAATTGAAAGCCTGACCCGATCCAGATGCCTACATGTGCTGCGAGGCGTTAGGGAAGGCGCTGCTGTACTGCGGCGCTGAGTCCTCGGGTCCATGAGGCGCAGCGTGACTCAGAACCATTAGAACCGGTCGGTGAGGGAAGGTCCGCTTCGACGCCTGGAAGTACCGGATGGACTCTGCTGTAATCAGATCCGTCAGGTAGTCCTGGAGACACACATGGAGACAGAACCAACCAGATCAGAACCCGACAGAACCAATTCTATTCTATTCAGTTTATTTCTATAGCTCCAATTCACATCATGTCATCTCAGGTCACTTTCCAGTTCACCAGGTCATCCAGTCAGATTGATTCAAAGTTTTCTATCTAAGTTTAGGAAAGTTGGGGAAAAACTTTCCAGGAAAGTTTTAAGCCTAGCCTTAAAAGTAGACAGGGTGTCTGCCTCACGGACTAAAACTGGTAGTTGGTTCCACAGGAGAGGAGCCTGAGAACTAAAAGATCTGCCTCCCATTCTACTTTTAGAAATTCTAGGAACCACTAGTAAACCTGCAGATTGAGAGCGAAGTGCTCTGTTAGGAACATAAGGAACATGTTTTTATCCTGTGCAGGCAGTGATCTGCAGAACTGGACTTGAACACAGCAGGAAGGGAGTTCTGGTTTTGTTCTGAGTAGGATGGACCACCTGCAGACCGACCAGGATATGGAGGACCAGAGCCAGGATCAGGAGACACTGACTGAAGTACGGAGGAGGAGGCATCATGCTGTGGTTTCTGCAGAGGGAGGGGGCTGGATGGAGATAAGTATAGCCACCTGCAATTGGTCAGCTGGAACCCAATCAGAGCTGAGACTGATCCAACAAGACGTCTAAACCTGGAAGTTCTCAGCAGGACGTCCTCGGTTCGACGTAACCAGTCAGCAGAGAAGGTTCTGGTCCAAACCCGCTCACAGACACACATCAGATATCGACTGAGAAAACCTGTTCCGGTCCTGCTGAGCTTGGGTTCTCCTGCTGGTTCTGACCTGAGGGTACAGCGCTCCGTGCTTCTCCCGCACGCCGTTGCGGCTCAGGGTGTAGTTGTAGAAGCGGCTGTTCTTCACCAGGCCCAGCCACTCCCTCCAGCCGGCGGGGACGTAGGAGCCGTTGTACTCGTTCAGGTACTTCCCAAAGAAAGCTGCAGACAAGTCCAACAAACAGAATCAGTAGAAGGTAGCAGAAGGTCCACCTGACCTCCTCTGGAAAGTTCAGCCAGTTAAGTTCTGATCATTAAAGCTCCACCAGCTATATTTCAGTTCTGCTTAGTTTATTTCTATGTGCCAATTCCCATCATGTCACCTAAGGTGACCTCATAGATCCAGATCAACCAGATCATCCAATCAGATTTATTTTTCATTGATTGAAGTTTTCTATCCAAGGAAAACCAGCTGATTGCATCGAATCATTGACTCTTCAGCAATCCCTCACACTAAGCATGCTTGTAGCGACAGTGGAGAGGAAAAACTCCCTTTGAACAGGAAGAAACCTCCAGCAGAACCAGGCTCAGTGTGAGCGGCCATCTGCTGAGGCCCACTAGGGTTCAAGGAGACAGAAGCAGACATAGAAAAAGAAGCATAGATACAAAAGGCAACTGTCAACCAGCTCCACAGGCGGCCCCGTCCAGGAAACACACAGCCAGGCAGACGAGCTCCGAGCCAGCTCCCATGTCAGAGGATGAAGAGAGCACATCCAGTTAGTCACAGTCAGAGAAACAGGACTACACTGGAAAACAGGCCAAGCTCCAACATCTAGAAACAAAGGTGTTGATGGCAGCAGCACAGCTGATATTTCTCTCCAGGATGGAGTCACAGCCAAACAGGAACAGACCAGAATCTGAGCTCAGTTCTCCTGCTTTGGTCCAAACATCATGAATGTTAGTTCCACTGACCTACAGGGATTATAATGTTTGATGTTTCATCCACAGGTCTGAGCTCTGTTATTAATCAGCTTAGCATACATCAGTAAACCGCTCCTGTCTGACAGTGAGAGCTGCTGCTGGTTTAGACAGAACCTGATCCTGAAGATTCTCAGGTCAGGGTCCAGCTTCAAAGTTCTGTCCAACTGGAACTGAAGTTTTCTAGAAGATGTTTCTCCTCTCATCCTAGAGGCTCCTTCAACTCTGACTAGTGGAGGGGAGCAGCCAGATTAATATACTGGAGGTGGAACAAAGAATAAGGGAATCTAAAGGAGGCTCTGACCCCTCCCACTGGATTGGCCATGGCGGTCACCTGAGGGGTTAAAGGTCATTAAGGGGTTCTGATGGGTGGTTAACTTACAGCTGCAGGGTCTTAAAGACCGAACCAGACGATAACGATGAAGATGACTGATTCTGAGGCACCGAATGAATTCAGTTTCTGGATGATAAAAGTCTTTCCTCATAATGAGAGATGAACCAGATGAAAGGTCTGCAGGTACTGAGGACTCAGCTAAAGAAAACCTCCACCTGAAAGCGCTACACACCATCCAATCCACACAATTTAGCAGTTAGCCTAGAAGAGAGCGTGACGACAACATAAACCTTCAGTGGAGTAAAAACTAAGACCATCGAAAGGTTAAAAAAAACCTGCATCCATGATGTAGCAGCCCGGTCTATATGGACCCAGTCTGCCTAGACCTCGTCTATCTGAACGCAGACTATCTGGACACGGTCTGCCTGGATCAGATCTACAGGGACCCAGTCTACCTGGATCTAGTCTACTTGGACACGGTCTGCTTGGACCCTGTCTACCTGGACCCTGTCTACCTGGATCTAGTCTACTTGGACACGGTCTGCTTGGACCCTGTCTACCAGGACCTTGTCTACTTGGACAGGGTCTGCCTGGACCAGGTCTACCGGGACCCAGTCTACCTGGACACTGTCTACCTGGACACGGTTGCTTCCACCGGTTCTAAACCACTCAGCGCTCAGAACAGACATCAGACTGATGATGGTTCTGTTGGAAGATGCTCAGACTGCAGCTGTGGTTCTGGACCAATGAGCAGAACTAGAAAAGAGGAGGTCTGGTTCTATTCATGGTTCTGAAGAAAGGTCCAAACAGGAGCCGATATACCTGGACCCAGTCTGCTTGGAGCCGATCTATCTGGACCCAGTCTACCTGGTCTACCTGGACGTGCTACGCCTGGACACGGTCTACCTGGACCTGGTATGCCTGGACCCGGTCGAACAGAGGAGGTCTGGTTCTATTCATGGTTCTGAAGAAAGGTCCAAACAGGAGCCGATATACCTGGACCCAATCTACCTGGACCCAGTCTACCTGGTCTACCTGGACGTGCTACGCCTGGACACGGTCTACCTGGACCTGGTATGCCTGGACCCGGTCGAACAGAGGAGGTCTGGTTCTATTCATGGTTCTGAAGAAAGGTCCAAACAGGAGCCGATATACCTGGACCCAATCTACCTGGACCCAGTCTACCTGGTCTACCTGGACGTGCTACGCCTGGACACGGTCTACCTGGACCTGGTATGCCTGGACCCGGTCGAACAGAGGAGGTCTGGTTCTATTCATGGTTCTGAAGAAAGGTCCAAACAGGAGCCGATATACCTGGACCCAATCTACCTGGACCCAGTCTACCTGGTCTACCTGGATCTGCTACGCCTGGACCCCGTCTACCTGGACCTGGTATGCCTGGACCCGGTCGAACAGAGGAGGTCTGGTTCTATTCATAGTTCTGAAGGAAGGTCCAAACAGGACCCGATGGCCCACCTGTTCTGTATCCCGTGTTGTTGAGGAAGACCCCGAAGGTCCGCGGCTCGTGCTGGCGTTGCCATGACAATGAGGAGCAGTTCTCGTTGTTGGTGTAGGTATTGTGGTTGTGGACATACCTGAGAGAGAGAAGCAGGTGGAGAGGTTCAGGAGGTTCTGCTATTGGAACCGTGGTTCCAGCTAGAATGGGTCTGGAGGTTCTGAGCAGAAAAAGAAAAAAATTGGTGTTCTTCTAGATATGATGGTCTGTGGAGCTGTTGCTATGGAGACATGGGTTCCATCAGGGGCCAAACAAGCCCACTGAGGGCCACAGATGGACCCGGCCAGGCTGTTTGGGACCCAGACCTCGTTTTCTGTTTGAGGACTGAGCTGCTTGATGTGGAGCCAGGCGGACCCAGCAGGAGGACGCTGCTCTGGATGGACGGCAGAGTGAGAAACAAACGGTTGCTATGACTGCATGCTTCCACCCAGAGGGTTTGAGCAGCGGTTTAAACCCCAAACACACCAAATCTGATTAGGCATCAGATCCGACAGAAGATCGAGCCTAAGAGGTGGTGGCGTTTAGCACTGATTGACTTTGAGGATGATTTCCTGCAGGGGGCATTGCTGTGTAGCTCCGTCAGACTACGCAGCAATGGTCATCCCTGAAACATGAACGACTGGAAGTGAATACAAACAGTTTTTTTATTCAAGGTTTGTGGTGAAAACTACAGTAAGGATATAAAATCAGATATTTTTGGCCTGCTGGTTTTAACATTTTCAGTTAATTTACGGATATATAAACCATTTCTCCACAGCCAGTAAAGAAAGGAGTAATAATGATCTTATCTCCGTTCATAACGATCAATCCTCCTGGACCTCCAACCTCTGGAGTTTAACCATTTATGTTTCTTCATGTATTGTAAACCAGCTGATTGCATCGACTGATTGACTCTTCAGCAATCCCTCACACTAAGCATGCTTGTAGCGACAGTGGAGAGGAAAAACTCCCTTTGAACAGGAAGAAACCTCCAGCAGAACCAGGCTCAGTGTGAGCGGCCATCTGCTGAGGCCCACTGGGGTTCAAGGAGACAGAAGCAGACATAGAAAAAGAAGCATAGATACAAAAGGCAACTATCAACCAGCTCCACAGGCGGCCCCGTTTCCAGGAAACACAAAAGCCAGGGAGACGCTCCAGCCCTCCCCAAAAATTTTCCCGAGGATGAAGGAGCACATCCATTAGTCCCCAGTCAGAGAAACAGGGGCTACACTGGAAAAAACCCGGGCCCAAGGGTCCAAAAATCTAGAAACAAAGGGGTTGATTTGGGCAGCCCGGGGGAAGGGTGTATTTCTCTCCAGGATGGTCCACAAAACCAAACAAACAGACCAGATGAAAACTACTATGAGAAAAAAGCAGAGAAGGCAGAAAAGTTAGAGTTTTAACAACAGAAATTTTGGGAAGGGGTGGGAGAATAAGATTAGAAAGAAGCAGAATGATGAAAAAAAAGGGGTCCCCCTTTTTTCCTCCAGCTCTAAAACCCCCATAGCAGCAGAAAATATAGGATAGAAACAGGATAACCTGAGCCACCTTAAATAGAAGGGTTTATCCCAAAAGGAAAAAATTTTAAGCCTAGCCCCTTTAAAAATAAAGACAGGGTGTCCCGCCTCACACTAAAACTGGTATTGGTTTTCCCCAAGGGGAGGGGCCCGAAACCCAAAAGATCTGGGCCCCCCCATTTTTACTTTTTTGAAGTTTCCCAGGGGAAACCCTTAGTAAACCCGCGATTGAAGCGAAGGCTCTGTTTTGGAAAATAAGGAACAAAACCCCGATCTCTGAAATCAGATGGAGCTTTGGGGGATTTTTAAGGGTTTATTTGAGAAGGGGGATTTTTTAAAATTTTTTTCTGGGTTTTAACAGGAAAACCAAGAAGAGAAGCCAGGAAAAGGGAAAAAGATTAAGAACTCCTTTTTTATTTTCCAGGGAAATCTGGCGCAGCATTTTGGGGTCAGCTGAAGGCTTTTTTTAAAATTTCAGTGTTGTGGGACTTTCCCCATAGTAAAAATTACAAAAGTCCAAGCCTTTTTAAGTAACAAAAAGCAAAGGGGCTAGTTTCTCAGCATCACCCCTGGAAGGAGATTCCCCATTTTTGCAATGTTTTTTCAAAGAAAGAAGGGAAAAAACTAGAAAACCTCTTTTATCTGGGATTTTAAAAAGACAGGGCCTGATCAAAAATAACACCAAGAAATTTTTTACTTTAAAATTTTGAAAAATAAAATTTTAAATCCCCTCCCCCAAAAGAAAAAATGACCTTGGGCTAATCATTTTACTTTTTAGAAACCGGGGCCCAAAAAAAACTTTTTAACTCCCGTTTTGTCCCCATTCAGAAAACCGGGGATGGGCCACCCAAAGGAAAAAAAGTCCAGGGCCCTCCTTTAAAAAAAGGAAAATTTAAAGGCCCCCCTTCATCCGATTTGAAAAATATTTTCCCGGGGACCATCAGAAACCCCCTAAATTAACCCAGCCTGGTTTCCCCAAAAACCCCTTACCAATTTGGGGGGGGGGGGGGGTTTTTAAATTTTAAAAGAAGGTCCTAGCAAAATGAAACCCCCTTTTGGTTTTCTTTCCCCAGGTTAAAAAATTTTGGGGGGTTTTTTAATAAAAAAGAAAAAAACCAAACCCCCCCCCAAAGATCAATTTAAAACCCCTAAAACCCCCCTTTAATTTCCAACCAAAAAGGCAAAAGCCCCTTTTTTTAAAAAAATACGACAACATCAAATCCCCCCCACCCCCGGGTCCAACCGGCCCCCCGGCCCCCAGAACCCAAGGCCATTTTCGAGGGCCCCCAGAAAATCTTTTGGGCTTTCACCAAGCTGTTTCATGCTAGAAGACTCCAAAAACCCCGCTGGGAAGAACCCCCCAAAAATTCAAATTTAAAGGTGGAAATGATCGCACACTTTTTTTGGCAACACTTTTTCCCAAAATTTTTTAAAATCAAAAGGAAGAATGGATATAGGTCTAAATTTACCAAGCCCTCTTGGGGCAAGGACCCGGTTTTTTAACAAGGTTTTTAAATTAAACCCAAAAATTTAAAAACCCTTTTGGTACAAAAACCCCCTTTCCCGAATAGATTAATCACAAACTAAGAAAGGGGGAGGGGATCAAAGGGGAAGGGTTTAAAATTATTTTAAAGAATCCCATAAAATCATTGCTGGGTAGGACAGGTGGGTTTGGGCGGTTTAAAAAAGCTAAAAACCTGGGTGGGGTTTTGGGAACTGTATTAAAAAGAAATCTTTGGATTAATTTTTTTTTCTCCTCTATTAAAGAGGAGAAGTATGCCCGCTCTTCCCTTTAAAAAAAAGGGGCCTCTTATACAGCAAATAAACCAATTTTTCCCCGACTAGGAAGGATTTTTCCCCAAATGGGCCCGGGGGACGATATTTTTCTCCCCAGTTTCCTAGCATTTTTGCTTTAAAGTAAAAGCAGCCTGATTAAACCAAAAGAGCAAACTTTTCCCATTTTTTTAAAAAGTTTTTTTTTTTTCAAAGGGGCTGCCCTGTTTCCCCCAAAAGGGGTACCAGAGAACTAGCAACCCCATCAAAAAAAAAACATTAAAAACCCGTGAAGGGGAATAAGGGGGTTGGGTTTTGCCCCTCTGCACAAATGCCCCACGACCAGAGGAGAGAGAAAGTGAAGCAGATTCTTTAAAAAATTTTTTAACCCCCTTGGGGTTCCCCTTTTATCGATAAAGATCTACAAAAAATTTAAACCCTTCTTTTTTGGGGGGGGAGAACCCCTGTTTTAAAATTTTCCTGAAGGTTATTAGAAAAGGGGCCCGAGAAACAGGGCTGTGAGGAAAAACTGTTATTTTCTTTACATTTATGGGCCCTAAAGTCCCGCACAAAGTCCAAAAATAAAGAAAGTGAAATTTTGGTTTGGGCCCATTCACATTTTGAACCAAAAACCAATAGTGGTCAAATAGCATTAAAGGGGTGCCTTAAGCTATCGGGCCCTTTAATGTCAGCATGGGTGTTAAAATCCCCCACTATATGACCAGGGCAAAATTTGTCCCGTGAGGGAAAAGAATAAGTCGAGGGAGGGAAAAGAAAAAGGGTCGTTTATGAGGAACAGAAAAAATCGGGAGGGGAGGAACAAATAATCTAGGGGAGGAACAAATAGATCGTAGGTTTAGGAAACAGAAAAAGATTTTAGGTGAAAAACAGAATAGATCGCATGAGGAAAAAAATAGATCGTAGGTGAGGGAAAAGAATAGAATTTGAAGGGGAAAAAATAGATGTTTGGTAGGAACCCGAAAAAGATCGTAAGGGGTTAGGGAAAGAATAGATTCCCTAGTTAGGGAAAAGAATAGAACGTCATTTAGGAACAGAATAGGAAACGGCAGTGGGGGGAACAGAATAGAAACTTTGGTGAGGAACAAATAGATCCCAAAGGGGAGGAAAAGAAAAAAAAGAATCGTAGGGGAAGGAAAAAGAAACACGTCAGTGGGGGAAAAAGAAAAGATCGGAGGGGAGGAACAGAATTTGATCGTAGGTGAGGAACAGAAAAAGACGTAGGAGGAACAGAAAAAAAACGAAAGGGGAGGAACCGAATAGATCGTTAGTGAGGAACAGAATAGAACGAGGTGAGGGGAAAAGAAAAAGATCGTAAATGAGGAAAAAAAATAGATCGTAGGTTTAGGAACAGAAAAAATTTGTAGGTGAGGAAAAAGAAAAGATCCCAGGGGGAAAAGGGAACCAAAAGATCGAAAAAGGGGGGAACAAATGATCGTAGTGAGGAAAAAAATAGATTGTAGATGAAAGGGAAAAGGAAAAGATCGTAGGGGGGGGGAACAGAAAAGGGTTGGGGGAGATTGAGGAACAGGGGTAGAAACGTAGGTTGGGGGAAAAAGAATAGATCGTAAAGGGGGGTGAGGAAAAAGATAGATCCTAGGTGAGGGAAAAGAATAACCGTTTTAGGAAAGGAACAAAAATAAAAAATCTAGTGAGGAACAGAAAAGATTCAGGGAGTTTTAACCCCGAATAGGGATTTTTTAGGGTTTTTTAAGGGAACCAAATTAATTTCCCCCCTAAAACAAATTTTTTTATCCCCTAAGTTTTTAAACAAATTTAATTTGTTTAAGTA